ATGTTTTATAGAAACCAGACATGGCATCCACGTTTAGTTCACTCATCAGGGAAGGGGCAACACTGTACTGAGTTGGTTGTGACGCTGTGATTTACTGTGGACAGGGCTTAGTGTAACACTGGCTCTAAGTATTTGGTCTGGGGATGTAGCTCAGTAGAGCACTGGGGTCGAGTGCTTGCCCAGTGGGCATACGGCTTGCTCTTCAAAGCTTGGTGATAAGGTAAGGTAGGAAGCGCCCAGTAAATGTTGGGATTAACTCATAGGGAATGGAGCATTTTACATTACTTAGGAAAATCTTCAACTGTGAAAGTGTTTTGAATCTTTTTATCTTTGGCAATTTCATACATTAACCTCCTTTGATAACGCTTCACAACTACCTCCCACTGACACCCTCCCTCCCTCCTCCTCTGAGTACAGGCAGTGTTGTCAGCTTCGTCCGTGCGGGTCTTGTACTGAGTTCCTGGGCACCACAGCCACACCCAGGGGATAGTATTTACAGTGCACTCCTCTGGCTTTTACACTCTGTTTGCTCTTAGGCATGTCCCTGAGACTTGGGCAGGGCTTACTGGTGTTGATAAAGATGTCTCATACAGGGCAGAGCATCCAACAGTCACTTCTTGTAAGCCCTTGACCAGTTACAAGTCACTCTTGAGGAACCAGGGAGGTTTTGAGTTCCATTCCAGCTGTAGTGTGTGTGCCTTTAGTCAGTCTCATCACCTAGTTCTGGTGGTCAGCCGAGAGCAATGGCAGGCAACAGTAGCTTGTCTTGTTTTAGGAGCCCTCTCTGATTAGTTCCTCATGGAACTAGCACTGAAATTTTCATTTAATTACTCATGTCTCTAGGGAAGAACCTCCTGTCTATCCGTGTAGGGTACCTGTTTTCGAACCTTTACAAAATTCTACTTTTAATCAGATGCAGAGGTGAATTTTTACAAAGGAATTTTGTATATGGTTAACCCACACTCAATTCCTTTCCTCCATCCCCTGCCTCACTTAAACCTTCAACCCCCAGTACTTCCCAATTTTCACAGCATCTGAGTTCTAATCCTTCAGCCCTCTGCTCCTCTTGGACCATTTCTGGTTTTGTGGCCTCCACACACTCCAATTTAAACACACAGTTCCGAAAGCTCAAAGCAGGGATCCACATTAGAACACAGCACAATGTCATTTGGTCCACTTTCCTGCGGGTTGCTTAACTTCATTTTTCTTTGATTGAGTAAAACTCGACCACATTTCCATTGTCTGTCAGGCTGATTCCAGGAGCGAAGGCCACGGATGAGCAGGCGTTTTTGTAGGACGGTACTGAATCCTTTTGTATATGCCTAAGTTCTGTTGCAGGTTTTTGAGAAACCTCCCCACTGATTTCCAGTGGCTACACCAATTCACGCTCAAACCAACAGCGAACAAGTGTTCTTTCCTTGCTAGCATCACTGTGGTGTTCTTGACTGTCATTGATATCAGGGAGGGGGACATGGAATCCCAAAGTCATTTAAATTTGCATCTTCCTGATAGCTAATAATTTGAACACTTTAAAAGATGTTTATTAACCTTTTATTTCTTCTTTTGATAATTCTGTGTATAGCTCCAGGGCCTATCTAATTGGGTTATTTTTATTTTCTTGACATTTAGTCTGAGTTCTCTGTATAGATACTAACCCTATGTTGGATAAACTCCTGGCCAAGATTTTCCCCCACTCTTAAAACTGTCTCTTCATTGGATGTCTTTGTGAAGACACTTTCATGAGATCCCATGTGCCAGTTACTGGTTTTCTTTCACGTGGGATTTGAACCCTATCAGAAAACATTTGGTTCTGAGAACCTATCTGAAGACTTAAGAATTGATTCATGCTATTTCACCGAAGAAATCAGTTTCATTCAAGAGCCACGGTTAGGATTTGTGCACAGGATGCAATGGCTGACATCAGTATAGTGATGGACACTAAATACGGGAGCTGATGCTGTGGTAATTTGTGTTATTTGCACAGGACAGAATCGAGACTCGCCCATGAGCTAGGCCTCTGTGTGCCTGTATGGGGTTTCTCGATGTTGAGGTGGGAAACCTGCCTACTGTGATGGTGCCTCCCCAGGTTGGCTCCTGGGCGGTGTAAGTGGAGAATGGGAGCCTGGCAGCCACTGCATCCATCCCTCTCTCTGCTGCTTTACTGCAAATGCATTGCGCCTAACTGCCTCAACTTCCGGCCACTGTGACTGCTCCATAAAAATGAACATGTGACCTTGAACTGAGCTGAAGGATACCCCATCCTCCTAAGTTGCTTTTGCCAAGTTATTTTTATCACAGGGACAGAAAAGAGACCAAGATGGATGCAATAGCAGATGAATTCAGCCAGCATTTCTCAGTGACATGCAAGGCAAAGACCACATGGCTGCTCCAGAACCAGGACATGGTTACGACATCTTATTTGCATGCACCGTGTTTCTCAACAGTGTTCTTCTTACTAGACAGGCACAAAACTGGACAATCCTGGACCTATGCGGATCATTTTTACTGTTTCCTGTTGGCCGGAGCTGTGGTGTCCAGTACGCGCACCTGGCTTGTTCTCCCTGTTGCTGGGACCTGCACTGCTAGGTGAGATGCAGAGGTGAGGTCACTACGGGGAGGGCCGTGAGCTACAGCAGCCACCCTTTCTCTATGTAGAGTTCAGCTTGCTCTGCAGCACGGTGGGACTAAGTGTATTGCAAAGTAGAGAGCAAGCCCCAAAAGGTAAGGGGTTTAGGGGCACAGGCTCAATTGTGCTAAGATAGCCCAAGATGGGGCATCTGAGATTCTCATATTTGGCAGTCAGCATGTACTACACTGCTGTCACGAACCTCCCCAAGCCAGGCACCTTAAAACAACAGAAATCTAGTCTGTGTGTCTGGAAAGTAGACATTCAAGATGAAGGTTGTCGGTAAGTCCACGTCGTCCCCCCCCCCCCCCCCAAGGCTGCAGGAAAGACCTTTTGTATGCTTCTCCTAGCAAACCCTAGCATTTTGGGCTACTGGCTCACGACCTCAACATGCCTGTGCAGTCACAAGGCTGCTCTGTGCTCCTATTCTGAGAACACTGGCTAAGGTCAGGAGTAGATGGATCTTCCTCCTTTCTTCCATGGGATCAAAACCAGGTTAGTTTTCATTTCTAGACCACCATGCCCGAGACTGCTTGTGTTTGTGCTGATTCTGGGCTAAGCATGTCACTGATACCCCAGGGTTTAAATGAGTGCTCACAGCTTAGACGAATATCACAGACGTTTCCTGATGGCTCACACATCAAAACATGACAAGAAAGGCTATTTTTGAGGTATTTCCTGCTGAATCAATCCTAGGAAGTAGTATCTTAGGGATCCCCCAATCTTGTTCCTCCTCCCTCCCCAATCTCCTATCCCATTTCCTGTTTGAGGAAAAAAAAGCCATTCTAGTAGGTGCAGGGGTGGGGATGTTCAGAACAATGAGGCCCACAGGCTGGCCTTCTGAAACGCATTAAGGAGTGTTTAACCACAGTGGCCTGGACCACTCAAATCAGAGCTTCCTAACTGGGACAAGGACGTTTTTAACTGAGGTTATATGAAGAAAGAGATTTGCCACCTTGTGAGGCTCCTGGCTCGTCACTTGGCGATGCCACAGGGCTGGAGTGGGTGAGAACCTTCTGGGTTGGGCCCCCTCTCTACCTCTTCTAGGCCACTTTGTTGTGGTAGCCAGGACTGATACCTTTGGATGCTCTTCTCTGGCATCCTCCATTTGTAACTTTTAGGGTGGGGTCTTGTCACATACCTCCCCTCCCCTCGCCCCACCCCCAGCCCGTGCTGGGTTCACAGATTTATGCCAAGGCCTCCCACCTTGTCCTTTTCAGGGCATAGCTTCCCTCTGCAGTTTTCAAACCCACTAGTTTTGTTCTTTCTCCCCCTTTTCTCTACATTTCTTGTCCTTAAAAACTCAGCTCAGAGGACATAACCTTGAGGCCACTTTCCGCTGGCCTCCCACCCCCAGAGGTCATCAAAATGTGCAGTATTTGGCTGTACCTGTTCAGAGCACAGGGGTTATTTGGACCAGGCCATGTGTAATTTAATTAGATAAAGTACTATACTCAAGTCGTTTTAGATTCTCACGTATGAAAAGGATGCAGTCAGAACAGTTCTGGCGCGCACCCCACACACAGCAGTTACAGTGCCGACAGCCTTCAGTGCGTTCATCTCACTGGATCTGAACTGCAAAGACCCTTCTGGAAGGAGAGAAGCTGAAGCTCGGACAAGGGAAAAGCATCCGGAGAGCAGATGACACTCTCTCCTGAGGAGGACTGGAGGCATCTGTGTCAGATGAGGGATGGTGCGCGCGCACACACACACACACACACACACACACACACACACAGCGTCAGCTGGAGAGACGGCGTGACGGGCTATGTGTGCAGCACACACACACGCGCACACACACACACGCACACACACACGCGCACACACACACACGCGCACACACACACACGCGCACACACACACACGCGCACACACACACACGCGCACACACACACACACAGCGTCGCTGGAGAGACGGCATGACGGGCTATGTGTGCAGCACACACACACACGCACACACACGCACACACACACACACACACGCACACACACACACAGCGTCGCTGGAGAGACGGCATGACGGGCTATGTGTGCAGCACACACACACGCACACACACACGCGCACACACACACACGCGCGCACACGCACACACACGCACACGCACACACACACACGCACACATGCACACACGCACACAGTGTCAGCTGGAGAGACGGCGTGACGGGCTATGTGTGCAGCACACACGCACACACACACGCGCACACACACACACGCACACAGTGTCAGCTGGAGAGACGGCGTGATGGGCTATGTGTGCAGCACACACGGGCAGCACCTCCAGTGTGCACTCAGGTTCTGGAGACAGCAGCATAACCGACAGTGGTTTAGCAGCTAACTACCCAAAATCCTCTCCCCCAACAAGAAAAGACAGTATTAGGATCACAAAGAGGTGAGTTTTTTAATTGATACTCAATCTCTACATACAATATTGCACAAATTAAAGATGTATCAACAATTCTATTTATGATAACAAACTCATAACAATCATATAAAACTACAAGGTGGTGCATTTTGGTGGTAGGAATTTTAGTAACTAGCGCAAATATGAAACTCAGCTACTTTGTGAGAAACAGCCTTCCACAAAAGAACTCCAGGTTACTTAAGATGTCAAACACAGGTCAAGGTAAGATCACTTTTAAGAAAAACTTGGGATTCAGGTATGGTGGCACATATCTCAGAAGGCTGAAGCAGGAGGGTCGCCAGTCAGGATGGCCTATACTATACAGCAAAATGATGACTCAAAAAAACTGCTGTTAAAAAATATGAAAACTTCAGCAATTTCATTTAGGAACCAGGAAATATATGCGTATTGGGAACTAAGAAGACACCTCCATGTCTGCTCCATAGGCCCTGTGCTCCAAGAGTAAATTCTTCTGCTGCAGGATCTCTGTAAGAAACTATGGTTTCAGCCGGGCGGTGGTGGCGCACGCCTTTAATCCCAGCACTCGGGAGGCAGAGGCAGGCGGATCTCTGTGAGTTCGAGACCAGCCTGGTCTACAAGAGCTAGTGCCAGGACAGGCTCCAAAGCCACAGAGAAACCCTGTCTCAAAAAACCAAAAAAAAAAAAAAAAAAAAAAGAAACTATGGTTTCAAAGCTCTAAACAAGCAAGATGGCAATTCAAATAAAAGAGCTTAAACAAGGCTCTTCCATTCAGAAGAAAACAAATGCAGTCTATAAATTAAAGTCGTATCAAAATGCTGCCCAGGCATGGAAGGCAGGCACCACTCACCTCCTGAGTGTCTCATACAGTACTGGGGTCACCTGTGAGGAAGGGAGAGCTGGGTATGGTCCTAGCTCTCTAACTTATCAGGTCTGGTCTTCATACACACAGGGTTAAGTGCGGTGAGCTAGCTGGCTGCTTGTCACAGCTTCCAATGGAAAGGTCTAAGCCAACCATCTCGAAGCATGCGCTAGGGGATGGACCGAGACCAGGTCTGGCAGCTCCCACCTTCTGACACCATCACTCAGAAATCTGGAACTACTGAAGGGCGGGAAGAAGGTGTCCGATGATCATATTTCTAATAAAATGTATAAGGCCATGGCGAATGTGAGGGAAATGAGGGACCACTACACTGTTACCCACAGCTGTCCTGCCTGGGAGATGAGAAGGGGGCGAGGAGATGTCTCAATCCACTCACTAGAATCTCTGGGTGCACACCTGTTACCCGTTCCCTCAGCTCCCGGCAAAGCAATGGCCACGAAGTTGGTCCTAGCGCAAAGAACAAAGCTACAGAGTTAAGAGCAGCGCAGGGGTTTTCTGTACAGAACAGGAGAATGACTTAAAGAAAACAATGTTTTCCCAGTTTCTGGGCTTTACAGACAACACAGATACCAGCTTTTCGGGATTAGCACAGTGGCTGCATCACTTTATTCCCCCCTGAGGTGGCCGCACATCATAAACTCTGAAACATGACAGTCACATGATTTCTTCAGTAAGCTCCCAGGTAGATCCCGGCTCTCCCGGAGCTTGGAGTCCTGAGGTTTCAAATGTTAAAGCTTTCACCACAGCCACAAGTTCCTTTGATGTTGGGGTTATTGAAAACAAACTCACTGGACAGTTTGTCCTCCACATAGTCCATTTCTGTTCCTAAAAGTGTTAACTGTGCTTTCTTTTCGATGAACACTCTGACTCCTTGGGAAAAAGAAACACATGTCACATAAAGCCTGAGGTGTGCAGAACCTGCAGTGAATTTCTAGTCGGTGCCACCAGCACCCACAGCTTCTGGGCAAGTCTAGGGCTCCTTAGAGGAAGCCCACCACTTCCCACCAGTCCAGCCTGTGCCTAACTCCAACCAATTATAACAAGGAAGACTTTTTACATTTGGAAATTCCACGGCCATTTCTGCAAAACTGGTTTGCCTTTCACTCACCTCCCTACCCCAATCTTTTATGGGAAAACGTGCAATTCTGTGAGCTTTTAATGATGGCATTCACGAGACTCTGGGAACATCTGTCCTGACCCTGTCAGCTATAAACGCCCACAGTACTGTTGTTCCATGGTACATTCTAAACCAGACCATATAAACCAAGACCACACAATGAGACATGGAATTCAGAGAATGCCCACTGGACCCAGAGCGGTAATCTGCTGCTAACCTTATAAATGAATACCATTTCCTAGTCACTGGGAAGGAGAGACTGACCTCTCAAAAGTGCAAAATGTGCTTTTCCTCAAAAGACATCACTTAAACATGAACATACTCTATAGGCCTTTCCTCTGTAGGGGGCAACTGCAGCTTATACTTCTGAACTGATGTTATTTTTTTAAGATTTTTCATGTGCATGGTGTTTTGCCTGTAGATATGTGTGCAATGCCTGGGGCAGCCAGAAGATGGTGTTGAAACAAAAGTTACAGATGGCTGTGAGCCACCATGTCGGTGCTGGGAACTGAGCCCAGGTCCTCTGGAAGAGTCAAAAGCACTTAACCTCTAAGCATCTCTCCAGCTCCATTTTTTTATAACTTAAGAAGGCCTTTATCGGTTAATTATTTCAGCTAAATATGATGGAAGTTGGGAATACAATTTCCTGCTTGTCTCACACCAAAATGGCTCCAATATACTAACAACAATATCTAGTGGTGGTTATTACCTTGCATAAGATCTTATTAGCCCAGGCTGGCCTGACCTGATCTTGAACCCAGCACCTAAGATTCCAATCCCAGTATTAAGCCTGAGCCACTGTACCTCAGTCTTTGGTAGGTTTTGCAAGATGACAGGGGCTGGTGTCAAATGCAGGAGCTGATAAAGTGGAGCTGGGTCTGGAGAGCTCATGCTGCTCTTGCAGAAGACCCCGCCTGGTTCCCAGAAGCCATCTTAGGCAGCTTACAACTGCTTGTCCTTCCTGCTACAGAGGACCCAACCCCTCTGTCTCCACAGAACTAGGAATGTGCACTAATATGCCCACATAAAACTGGTTCAGCAGAAATGGCTGGATTGTTCAACTGATGGTCTTAAAATCTGTGTGTGGTGAGTGGATGCCTGACTACCCAGAACCCATGGACCCAGGAGAGAACCAACTCTCAAAAGCTGTACTCTGACTTCACACACTAATACAGCTTTTAAAACCTGCGAGGATGAGCTTGATCCTCAGCCACTGTCTAATTCCAGCACCAGGATGTGTGGGAAGGAAGATCATAGTGAAGCTCTGGTCTCAAAAACAAAAAACAAAAAACAAAAAAAAAAACAACGAGGAAAAACAAACCTATAAGCCTAAACTGTTCGCTGTGATGACCATTCAGAGCTGAGACAAAACGTAACCCCCCCTTAACCCTTAGAACGGATTGGGTTCAAAGCTTCACTAGGTCCTTTCACTGTGAGCCCCTGGGCTTCCCAGCTACTGAGTCTCTCCTTGCACCAGGTTCTCCAACAGAAGCCAGGAAACTGTCGCCTCTCCCCATTCAGTGGAGCACATGGCAAAAGACTGTCTGCCAGCGCTGGGCACGTAACAAGCACCACTCAGACGATTCCTAACCCAGCAGCCTTACATCAGTTTCTACAAGTTTTCATCAGGAAAAAGAGACCACAAAATGTTAAAGAACAGCAACAAAAACCCGTCCATTACTCACCAGAGCCAAGTGTGGGTGCTTACTCATACCCCACCCCATCACTGGGAGGCAGAGCAGGAATTAATGTCATCCCTACACCCAGCTACATAAGAGTTCAGGGCTAGCCTGGGCTACAAAAGAATCTGTCTCAAAAAGACAAGGGAGCTTACCATCTTGAATAACTTCTTCATCAGAATCTCCTTTTGTCTTTGAATACTCCAGGGTGTAAGAGAGGCCATTACAGCCCCTGGTTCGCACGCCAACTTTCAGACCCACCTGAAAAGAATTGAGAAGATAAACATTGTGTGATGACCTACACCTTGAATCCCAGCACTGACATGAAATTCTCCTCTGTATGCTGTGAATAAGTTTTATTACCATTGGTTAATAAAGAAGCTGCTTTGGGCCTATGGCAGCCCAGAATAGAGCAAGGCAGGAACTCCAAGCAGAGAAAGGAGAAAATAAGGCGGAGTCAGGGAGACACTATGTAGCCAGTGAAGGAGACAGACACTGGATGGAACCTTACTGGTAGGCCACAGCACCATGGCAATACACAGATTAATAGAAATTGGTTAATTTAAGATATAAGTGTTAGCCAGAAATATGTCTAAGTCATTGGCCAAGCACTGTTGTAATTAATATAGTTCTGTGTGATTATTTTGGGTCTGGGCGGCCAGGAAACGAACACACAGCCTCCGCCCACACAGTACCTGCTTGGGAGGTGAGGTACAAGGACTGTGATATAGCAGTATATTATTTGTGTTTTAATAAATAAAGCTTGCCTGAAGATCAGAGAGCAAAGCAGTCATACTAGACAGCCACAAAGGACAGGAATGGTGGCACGCACCTTTAATCCCAGAAGTGGGAGAGGCAGAGAGATCTGTTAGTTCAAGGTCACCCTGGGCTACAAGATTGAATCTAAAAGAGAAACAGCTCACACAAAGGTGATTCCAGCAACACGGAGGTGGAGACACAGAGTGATGTGGCTGGGATGTAGGGGGAACATAAGGGGAAGAGAGGAACTCAGTGGAGAGTGGAGTGTGTGGTGTGGAGTTTTCAGGATTCATGGAGACAGGATCTTGCCCATTTTTGGTCTGAAGTAGAGGTAAGAGCCAGTGGCTGGTTGCTTTGCTTTTCTGATCTTCAGGATGAACCCCAACATCTGTCGCTGGGTTTCTATTATTCATGCTACACTGGCAGGCTGGAGCCAGCCCAGGTAAGGTGCACATGGTCTTGAGGCAGTCAGTGCGGGTTCCACTAGTAAAGGGCACAAGAGCCTGCGGCAGATTCCTAGAGTCCAGATGAAAAGGCCCGGCACAGTGACACGTGTCTGTACCCACTCTGGGGAGGGGCGCAGATGGGCCACTTCTGCACCTTGCTGACCAGTCAGTCTAGTCCACCTCCTCAAGTCCAGACCTGTGAGAAACTGTGTCTCCAGTCAGGATGTGTGACTCCTGAGGTTGACCTTCGGCCTCAGACACATGCACACAAACACGAAGGTACTAATAGAAATGCATGCCTACATACAGGATAGCAAGCAAATTAAAAGACAGAAAGCAACCTTTGATATTACCACTATTCATTTTCTCGTAAACTCAGTGGTAAGCAACAGGTTCCTGGTTATAAGATGTCCCTATAGGAAGAACAAATGTCACGGGAACAAGCACTTAGGACAACACAGGAAAAGTGCACAGGAAGGACTGCACAAGCCTCGCAGTGCAGGAAGGTGGCTTCTCTGTCTCTCCTGTCCTGGCTGTGTCTGCATAGTTTTACTACAGCATAGTAAAAGTTTTACTCTATCTAGGCCTTTACATAGTCACAGTGTTTGCTTTCTTAACTATAGTTTGGAAGTAATGGGAGCACAATGCTCTCCTGTAGCCATCAGCATTCCTTTTTTTGAAGTACAGGAGGGCCACAAACCCACCTGTTTCATCCTTCAAGGTGCTGGGATTGCAAGGGCACTGCCATAACTGGCTTTTCCTTTACTTCTTCAACACAGGGTCCACAAATGGCACCAACTTGCTGTGTAGCCAGCTTCTACCTCCAAAGGCTGAGGCAATGAGCTCAGGCACCACCACATCTGGCTTTGTCTTTTCTCCTTTTGGTTTTTTGAGACAGGGTTTCTCTTTGTAGCCCTGGCTGTCCTGGAACTCAATCTGTAGACCAGGCTGGCCTAGAAATCAGAGACTCACATGCCTCTACCTCTAAAATGCTGGGTCACCTCATTTTTTTTTAAGGGCATTTGATGGTAGACTGCCTTTAAAACCTGGGATCCCTTTAAGAGGCTTTGCTCCACTTTGTTCTGTGAGGTATCTGGAGGCTGCCATGGTTAGTGAGCACTGAGGTCCATCTTCTCACCTGGCTCCAGTTCAGGAGCTTCCTTTCTAAGGCAATCTGGTAAAACATCCCAAAAGACCAGGAAGCCAAAGATCATAGAAGTTTAAAATGTGTGTGTAGTGGGGGGGGGGGGGGGTGAGAGGGGCTAGAGGGGCGGCAGGAGCTGATGCAGAGGCTGTAGAGGGTGCTGCTTACTGTCTTGCTTTGGTCCTTACTTTCTTATAGTACTTACAACAACCAGACTGGGGATACAACCACCCAAAATAGGCTACCCTGCCCCTCAACTAATCACCAATGAAGAAAATGCCTCACTGGCCTGCCTATAGCCAGATCTTATGGAGGCATTTTCTCAACTGAGGCTCCCTCCACTTAGATGACTCCAGCTTGAGTCAAGTTGATGTAAAACTAGCCAACACAGCACACGACTGATTTTCTAACAATATCTACCTACACTCGCAATCTTGGTTCCTGCCCTTTAAGTGAACAATCGAGCCCTACTACCCTCAGTCCTGTCCCACCAGGACACTGCAATCCTGAGAAACCCTGTCAGGTGTGCTTGCTTCATGAGCTTGATTGCAAAGCTTAGACTGAGGGCATTCCATTACTCTGAATGCATGAATTTTTGGGGTGCAGGTTTAGTTTGTCTCTGTGATCAGGAAGTCCTTAGGAGAACAGGAGCCCACACATTAGAGTGTGCAGACAGGGCGCGGGGTGCAGCTCCGCATCAGGTTTGCCTAGCATGTCTGAAGTCCTGTGCTCACTCCCAGAAACACAAAAAGCAAAAGCAAACAGAAACCCTCCCCAGTCTCTGAAATCCAGTTTTCAGCAGGCATGGCAGCTCACACCTGCAACCCCCAGCACTCACAAGGAAGAGAGGGTGGATTACCCATGAATTCAAAAGTAGCCTAGTTTCCATAGGGATTGTTAATGCTGTAAATTACACTTATACACCAACGAGAACAAATACCTTACAATCCTACAAGGCTAATTTTAGTTTTTGGTCAAAATTTTTTAAAAATATTTATTTATTTATTATGTATACAATGTTCTGTCTGTGTGCATGTCTGCAGGCCAGAAGAGGGAACCAGACCTCTTTACATATGGTTGTGAGCCACCATGTGGTTGCCGGGAATTGAACTCAGGACCCTTGGAAGAGCAGGCAATGTTCTTAACCACTGAGCCATCTCTCCAGCCCCCGATTTTGGTCAATTTATGTGCTAGAAAGTTCAGAGTCAGAACACTGACACCTGGTGGCATTTAACAGCCTTTAGCATGGAGTGTAAGAAGTCCGGTCATGAAATATAAGAGAATCCGGAAAACAGTACCAGGACCACCATCCACAGGCCACAGCCAGAAGCGACTGCATGCAGGGATGACCCCGTGGGCATGGTAAGCCAGGCTTCCAGGTCTGACACTGGGCGTGACTCACTTCACCTACAGCTGGTAAATTATGTCTGCGGCTGACAGCAAAACCCAGATAGCTTTCACACAGAGGATCAGTTGAACACATCAAACCTGCTCAGGGGAATACATGCAGTCATGAAAGAGGGGACCTTTACCAAATGATCCGGAGACTGAATTACTAGGTAGAACGAAGTGTAACCAAGCATTTACTGCATGTGTCATCTACGGAAGAAGCGAGAGAGATAGACCATGCAGGCCAGTGGTTCCCGAGGAGAACTCCAGAACATCCTCCAGCCACCCTAAGGCATGCAGTAGAGGCAGGGGAATGCCCAGCTAGTAAGCACACAGCCAACCTCAGGCTGCATCTGGCTTAAGTGTGACAACGTGGAATCTTAGTTGTCTAGAGCTTTGAGCAGTGAGAAGCTGCTTTCTATGGAAAAACTCCCTGTGTGATTCAAGAATTTGGGTGCAGCTCCCTGTACTTGCCTGGCATGAGTGAGGCCAGGAAGTTGACACCTTAGCAATGTAAAAACTAACAAAAAACAATTTAATTAATGAAAATATACTATTTGCAACAAATACATTTGACCCGCGACCACAACTTTTAGCTCTGCTAACCCTTCCGCAAGCTTACATGTTACTTACATGCTCTGGCTTGTCTTTAAGAAGTTGTTTTATCTTGTTCACAGCTGAGGGGGTCTGGAAAAAAGAAACAGCTGTTAGGCTCATCCTCTGACGCACAGATGGGCAGATGCCCCCACCAGAGCCTGATGTAGTGCATGCCTGCAGGTTTTCCCAGAGAACCAGGTGGGTTCCATCCCATAAAGGAGCCACCGCGAAAGCACACTCCTGCCCTGACAGAAGCCCACCTTTTCTTGTGAGACCATATTCTGTGCATCTACTGAATGGCCTGTAACAAGTACAGTGCCAGCACAGATGCTCATGAATAGCCCATCAACGGAAAAGTCAACTTTTGGGTGTTCCCATGTTGGTTCAATCCCCTTCAAACCCATCTGAATGCACGGCTGGAGAGTTGCTCCTGGGCACAGATTTCCACTGTGGGTAACACATACCTGGACATCTAGGTGAGCAGCCATGCTCCTCAGTGACAGAATCAAGTATGTGGCTATGTAGCTAAGAATGCAGTTCAACCTAGCCTAATGGTCTTTAGCAGGAGAAGATGTCCCAATGTAGCGTGTTCAGTATCACCAGTCCCACCTTCCTGTAGAGGGTGCTGGGAACCTATTCTGATCTGCACTGCTCCTGGACTGCTTCCTGGATATGTCCCAATAGACACTTTAAACAGTTTTTTTTCTAACGTTTAGGAGGGATAATGTCCTTTCCTAGGATTCTTGTAAAGACTAATACTGAATACAGGGAAGGCGGCCTAGAGAGGATGGCATTCTGAAGTCCAGGAGAGGATGGGGCACAGTGCAAAAGGTGAGAGAAATCACGGTAAGGGAACGATGTCCTCCGTACTTGTGTTTATTGCCGAGGAGACAGATCATAGGCCTGGCCCTAGACCAGATCTGACTTAGAGGCCTGGACAGATGATGAAGTACAAATACAGTGTGGAACCAAATCCAGAGCCACAGAAACAATGCAGAAAGTACAGAACCAACAATGAAGGAAGAAGCTGTGCACTGCAGGCCGTGAAGGCGGCTCAGCTGGTAAAGAGCTTGCTTTGCAGCCACGAGGACGCGAGTTCAATCTCCATAAAACAAAACAACAAATAGAGATAGGGAGGGGAGTAGGTAGGCAGCCATGTCCACTTGGGGGGTTTCCCGTCAGTGGGAGACCCTTTCTCAAGACTAAGAAAGGTGGAAAGCTCCTGAGGAATGGAGAATACTGGAGACACCCTCCAGCCTCCACACATGCGCATACATGAAACATGTACCAGCACCCCGCACATACGAAAAAAAAGCAACACGGCATGCTTAAAACAAATAGATGCTGTTTAGGGCACTATTTTAAGTCAGTGTGGGCTGTAAAGTCCTGACTCTCAGTTAAGTGCAGACAGACTGAACTGGCACACAGACACAACGTGAAGGGTAGAAGAGAGGAATGCCAACCTCAGGGAGTTAACAAAAACACTCATTAAAATCAACCACAAGCAGGGAGTGGTGGTCCATCCTTTAATCCCAGCACTTAAGAGGCAGAGACAGGTGGATCCCTAAGTTAAAAGCCAGCCTGACTTACAAAAATGAGTTCCAGGACAGCCAGGACCACACCTGTCTCAAAAGCAGCCAGGCGGTGGTGGTTCACAAGCCTTTAATCCCAGCACTCCGGAGGCAGAAGCTGGCGGATCTCTGAGTTCAAGGCCAGCCTGGTCTACAAGAGCTAGTTCCAGGACAGGCTCCAAAGTTACAGAGAAAACCATCTCAAAAAAACAAAACAAGAAAACGAACACACACTCCTAACTGTGATGCCCAGCAGACTGAGCTATAAGACTTTGAACTTCTGTCTGGTTATTTGGCAGCTTCTAATTATCACAAAGCAAGCTAATTACAGGTGATTTTATTACATCTTGCCATTATCTGTATTTCTCATAAAGTAAGGCTACACAAATAAGACATTTAGAGAGAAAGCCAAATAAAAGCTACTAAAATAATAAGGAGCATAAGGCAACAAGAGAAACTAATAGGCAAGCCCATGCTTCTAAATCCCTGAGATTTGAGTATTGGTGAAACGAAGCTCCATGAACTTCAATGGAGCAAGAGGAAGAAGAGACCTTGCCTTTGCTCCTTAACTGTACCTTAGCTGTCAGGCTGCTTTCCTCAGGAAAAGCCACTGTGCACAAGGGACCAACCCAGGGTACTGCTATCCAGTGACAGCATATGTCAGAATACACCAATATTCGCTGTTTCACATTTAAAGTGGTTGCTCTACAATATGGCCCCAGAAAAGAATTTTTAAATGTGAACTTATTTGGGAATTAAATAGTTATACAGATTTTAAAGATGCTAATACATTTTTAAATTATCTAAACTCAATTTCAGAAAGAAAACCATTTTAGTAAAAGTAAAAGGTTTATCAAAGATAAACAGAACTTTAAAAATGTGCTTATTTATTACACTTCCAGGTAGCTGCCCACAGCCCTTACTTCCCAGTCTTCCAGTCGTACACTTTCACAGACACATTTTCTATGAAAGTGCTGAGGAGACAAACCTAGTGTACAACAGGACTTAGAGCACTCACTAGCTGTCCTTGCAGAGGACCTGACTTTGATTCCCAGCAACTACACGGGGGGCCAGCACCATGTAACTATAGTTTCAGGGAATCCATTGCCCTCTTCTGACCCCTGGGGACACCAGGTACTCATGGCACATATACATACATACACATATACATACAAACACAGACATTAAACAAAAAGCTTAGGAAATGCATGGCCTAGAAAGAAGTGTTTATTGGAGCAAGAACGTGAAGGAGAGCCTGGATTTCAAGCGCACAGGCCAAGGTGACAATAAAGCCTATACTATACTGCGTGATGTGAGCACGCACGCTCTTTTTGATTAACTGGACCTGAGTTTTATTCCCATAAAGATTTCTAAGTTACCTAGATTGGTTTTATAAATCAGTGGGTTTTCCTCTCTTCTCAAGTCTTAGAAAACATTTAAACAGTAGCTGCTTATACTCCTGGCTACTGGGAAGCTGAGGCAGGAGGATCATGAATTTGAGATCAGCTTGATCTACACTGCTATGTTTTTCTCAAAACAAGTTCAATATAGCAAGTAAAAGCAAGGCATGTAAAACCACATGGGCATTGGGCTGCTAACACGCAAGGGGGAAATGACATTAAAAGGACCCAAATGTTTTTGAGCCGCTGTCAAAGGACCAAAACAGATCCTAACTTTGCTGTCCCTCCCTGGGGAGCTGCTACTAAGGAGTTCTCAGCTAAGAGGGACGGACAGCTGAAACTGGCAAGTGACTATCCTGACTTTGCCTTGTTTTGGAGACAGACACTCAACTATGTATTCCAGGCTGGTCTTAACACTCGACCCTCATGCCCTTGCCTGAGTGGGGCGAACAGCTATTGTTCAGCTGAAGGAACTATTCTGGTCAGTTAAAAGAATTGAATGGGGCTGACTGTTGCTGGGGGTGGGGCTGCACCTTTCTGTTCTAGATACAGCACTGTATTTGGCCCTAGAAGAAGGTAAGTGACTCCCTTGACTCACGTCCTGGCAATGATGAGGTCTCTCCTGAAGCCCACTGCAAAACTGGCAGTTCCCTACTGTGTCTTCACCCCTAGACCAGCTCAACCTGACCTCCCCAAGAAATTCCCCAACAAGTAAGGACTCAGAATTCAGATTACTGAAATACCCTAAAATCTAGCAATGTCTTTGGTCAGCTCCCGTGTACACCATAGGAACATGGTTACTTATAGGGACAACATCTTGAAGATGTTTACCAGGTAAAAGAGTGTGCCTCCACATTGAGAACCACACGATGGGAGATGAGAAATGATTCCTGAGCTGTCGTCTGACCACACAATCCCTAAGGCACACGTGCCCACACCTTAAATAAGTCTAACTTTAAGGAAATATTCAAAACCACAAACCAAAAATTGTTTCAAGGCCGCTTTTGCCGTCAGAATGCTGGGAAATGCACTCCAAGTGACCGTCTCAGCTCAGTTCCACAGTAGGGAGCCCAGGCCACCCTGCTCCCAGCCCAGCACTGGGAGTACAAGCATGCACCACCCCCAACCCTAGCTGTTTCTATCCAGGAACTGGAGAGGAAACTCTGGCCCTCATGCTTCAGAGCTGTCTGCCAGCTGACCCACCTCCCCCACCCCGGGGTTTGTTACCCATCATGCATTTAGTCTTACAGTTCTGTAGTTTAGGTATAAATATTTGCAGGGGCTGCTAAATTAATGATGCGAGAGTTAACGACTGAAAATTTTCAAAAAAATCACTTTGCATGGTGTATATAATCCTTTGGTAAAAGGCTCTCTTCCTTCTCTGACCCTAGCAGCTGCTCTGCCGCTGGACGCTGTAGTTCTCCTGGTAAGCTTCTGACTGCATGCACGCGCCAGCTGCTGTCCCAGAGGTCTCTGGGTCCTACTCCAGAGAAGTAACAGGTCCATACATGTGTCCCTCAGGCCCTCAGTCAGGCGGCACCTGGAAGCTAACGGTGAATGAGCTTCTCTGCACACACTGATCCGGCCCCATCATATACTCGCAAGTTGAGCTTTGGGCGGCACGAGGCTCTGGTCATAAGAGAGCTGCAACTAGCTCTGTCTTGCGCACCAACGGAGATCGGGCTGCCTGTCAGCCAGCACGTGTTTAAGTCACAACTCACTCTGGTCCCTACTTAGTAAAGTAGACTCAAGTCTACTTAGTAACTCCTGGAAATACGGGGTGGAAGGAGCCCATGCTCCCTGGATGTCCTCTGCAAGCATCCAAGGGTCCTTGCACTAACGTCACCGGTGAGCTGGAGCCATTCCTCGTTTGTAGACAGTAGCCGTCAACAGTCTCACCCCGCCCCCCCCCCATGCCAGCCCATCAATTCCCTCCGTGGTTAACTGGAAGAGCTAAGTGGCGCCCACATTTCCATGTTACACCTGCCCTCGCCGAGGCGAGCCTCGAGTGGGCTCTGGAGCACTCCTCCCCTGTCAGAGGACGCGGCCAGCAGAACCTAAAGCTATTCTATCAGTTTACTTTGGTTTGCTAGTGTCGCCCTCCCGAGCTTTCCGCCTGTGATCATCACGCGGCTTTTGCATGTTACATGTTAGGGTTCAAATGTTTACCAAACACACGAAACACAGGCGCAGCCTGCACACCAGCCAACAGGCGGTGGGGCTGCTCCTCAGCCACTCCGCCGAGGAAGGACGGGATGACTGCCTACAACTGAGACAGGGAATGCGGAGAGGCTGTCAACTGCGATCTGCTGTGACCAATCATAGGGAGTGGTCAACAAACGGACTGAGCCAGGGTCTGTGCAAAGGAGGCGACATTTCGGGTAAGACTGGGTTACGGAGGGCGGGACCCAGGCAGCTCACTTATTTCTTTGTCACAAAACAGCAGGGCTTGATAATGTGTGCTGAAAAGGTAGGCATGGGGAAGAAAGAGGGCACCTCGAAAATTCCCAGGTAACAGGTAACATTGCCAAGGGAAAAGCCTGCCTGGACACTGACTTTTCGGAGGATTCTGCTCTGAGTGAGAGGAGACACAGCAGGATTCCATGATGTAACCTTGCGGAAATAGAAAGGAGCCGACTCTAGGAAAAGCAACAGAGCGCAGTGTAACTGAGACTAACTGGGGGGCCGACACTGACCGAGCACAGAAAGGCTCCCCGCTTGGTCCCGGCTCCCTTCTATTTTACTTCACTTATTTGTTAGGACCCTAAACTGAGCAGATCCCCCGCCTCACGTGGGGAGGATTCGAAGCCTGCCTCCCGGCTGCCTCTGCCGACCCGCCTTCCTCCGCGGCGCCTTCCCCGCACGACCTTCCTCCTGGACGCCGTGACCTCGGCGGTTGCCGCCCGGGTCAGCGCGCCGCCCGCCGGGCTGGAGCGAGCACTGCTGGTCTGCGGGCCAGGCCCGCCCGGCGCCCCGGGCCGCCGCCGCCTCCCGCCGCCGCGACTCACCAGCGTGAGCGCCGCTCGCGTGGGCTGCAGCTTCCTCTTGCTCACGGCCCGCACGGTGGCGCGGACCAACGACGCCGACATGGTCACGGCGCGGCGCCCGCAGCCTCCGGCCGGAGCGTGACCCCTCAGCCTCGCTCCATGGACACGGCTGGCTCTTTGACGCCACAAGCTTCTGCGCAGGCGCCGCAGGCCCCGCCCCGCGCCGCCATTGGACAGCCGGGTGAGTGACGGGCTGGGCCGCACGCCGTCAGCGCTGACGCGGCGCGGGCGGTGACCCCTGACCTTGCGGGCTTCGCGGTTGCCCTGCAGCCGAAAGTGGAACGGCTTCTTCTTCGGGGCCCCCGCTGACGGGAAGCGGCAGAACCCAAGACGGAAGCCGCTCCGACAGCAGAACGAGCCGGTCGAGACGCCGTGCGACAGTTTCCGTTATTGAAAACCCGAGCACGTGACCTAGCAGCCTCGCGACCGACGGGGACGGAAACCCTGGCAGGACAGTAACGGTCAGCTAGCCTGCTTTCCTGCAGGCGGTTTCCATCTGACCAGCCGCACGCACGTAAACACAGCTTCCCTCTGGGCCTGTAAGATGAGCTCTAATCTTTTATCTTGGGGCAGCAGCTGCCCTGGGGCTGGCACTGGGAGGGCGTGGGCTCTAACCACCCTCCGGGTTCCTGGAAGGCTGAGTGCGGGGAGCAGGGCTAGGATCTTCTGGGGGTAGTCCCGCTGATAGAACAGGGGTCAGCTGCTGTGTTAGCATCAACTGGTTAGGTTGGCAGGGCAAGACAACGTGAATGAGGGTAATTCTAGGCTGACAGACCAGGCAGACATAGTTACCAGGGTTGGTTAGAAGCCTGGAAGAATGTTGTGGAGATGTGCTGACTGATTTTTGTCAGCCTGACACAGACTCAAGTCATCTGAGAGAGGGAACCTCAACTAAGAAAATGCTTCCTCCATAAGATGGGTCTGTAGGCAGGCCTGTAGGCGTTTTCTGATTTCATGACTGATGGGGAAGACCACACATTGTGGATGGGGATAGTCCTGGGCTGGTGGGCTGGGTTCTATAAGAAAGCAGGCTGAGCAAGCCATGAGGAGCGAGCCAGGAAACAGCACCCCTCCATGGCCTCATGCTCTTGCCTCTAGATTCCCACTCGGTTTAAGTTCCTGCTTTGACTTGTAACTTGGAGTGGTAAGTCAGATAAACCCTCTCCTCTCCAGGTTGGCTTTGGTCATGTTTCATCCCACCAAGAGGAACCAGAACCATGGTTAGTTGGGGAAATGGGCATGCGGCAGGTCAGGTGCAGCCCCGATGCCATGCAGCACTAGGTGGCATCACCATGTGTACTTCATAGCCCATGGAGGAAGGCATGTCATGTCAGACGATGGCCCGCACTGGTAGGACAGCCATATGTAAATTCTGACCCTGGCAGTAATGAGCTACACAACACCAAAATCAGCCCCTCAAGATACTGCTAGGGTGGCACTGGGCAGGAAGGTATGGACGTCTGGGGACGCAGGGGTCAATAGGCGTCATCCCTTTGAACAGTAATATCCTTCCTCTCTCTGTCACGCGTTCTTACTCAAATACGCATACATCTCTCTTACTCTTGGTTCTGAGAGGAAGGTGACCACTCAGGAAATGTTTGGCTGACAGCAGGGTGACGATTTTCTCGGGGAGTATCGTCAGTCTACAGTGTAAAGACGGAGCAGAACTGTTTTCCTGGGTGGTTTTCTAGTGGACACATCTCAGTGGCAAAAATGGAAGGGCATGATTTCCCAGGGCCGTCGAGCAGCACCCGCCAGCCTGTGTGAGCAGCATCTACTGTGGTGGATCCTTCCCAACCAGTCGTCTGGAGCAAAGGCCCCAAATGTGCTGTTTCCTGAAAGCCAACAAAGGAGACCTCTGCTCTCAAGGATAGGAAAGCTGGGGGGGGGGGAGCGGGCTCTGCCACCCACTGGCAATAAGGATCAGCTGAGAGTTAATCGCACCTAAGGCACCTGACATCCATTCTTAACAAGAGCCCCAGGAGCCTGGCAGTGGTGGTGCACACCTTTGATCCCAGCTAAGGTAGGCTAATCTTTGAGTTCAAGGCCAGCCTGGCCAACAGAGGGAGTTCAGGACAGCCAAGTCTGCCTGCCCTATCTAAAAAAAAAAAAGAAAGAAAGAAAAAAGAGAACAAAAACAGCAAAAAACTAAGAGTCCAGGGAACCAGGCCACCTCTCAGAGGAACATGGGAGCGGGGAGCCGGGGTGGGCACTGGTGTATGGTGAACGTTGAATTAACCCAGGCTTTCTCGGAACACAAGTCCCGTGTCACCTGTAGTCTACAGCATCCACAGCACACACACTGTGCCGTAGTTCCGCAAAGGAACAACATTTCACCCTTTTGGTTTGATTAAAAAAAAATTGGGGGACCTTAAAGGGTAGAGAATGGGGGCGTAGCCCGGTTTCTCATGACTGTTTCCTGCTGGCTTTGGGCGTCGAGGGATCCAGGGAGTGTCCGATTATTCTAGCCATGTCCCGCTGGCGTTTGAGGTCGTGGTGTCCTGGTCGTGGTGTCCTGTCCACTGGCGTCTGGGGTGGCCAATGTCCGCTGGCGTTTGAAGTCTTGGGGTGGCCAATGTCCGCTGGCATTTGAAGTATTGGGGTTGCCGATGTCCGCTGGTATTTGAAGTCTTGGGGTGGCGTCTGAGGTGGCTGATTGAAGAAATCACATCTGTCTGGCTTTTCTGAGTAACTGGGTCATCGTTAAGATGCTGGAAGACAAAAGTCGCATTAGTAGAGGAAAAAAAATTAAAGGGGAGAGGAGATCTGGGGTGAAGGATTCTTAGGAGGTCTGGGGTTAAGAATGATAAAAAATTAAATGATACTTATTCCGTTAATGATCCGCTTGTGTTTGATTTGTTTAGATGGGTCGGGCTGGCATCCTGGAGCTTAAAGAAAGTGTCTTAAAAGAAATAGTAACCGTATATTCCTTAACATTTCAGGGGCCACTGCTGCAGTCAGTGGCTGACCTGTTATGTCAAGGAGCTTTGTTGGGAATCTGCTTACCCCCTGAGCCCTTGACTCCGTATTTGATGATGGTATCTGTAACGACAGCTGGATGGTTATTTATGAATTTAAAGAAGGGAGGGTGTGTTAACACAGCGACGGATGGGACCACTGTTTTCCTTAGACTGGAGTAGAGGGGGTTGAACCTGGTATCCTTGAGCTTGGCAGCTTATCTCCTCTGCTGGCCTGGCGGGTGCAGTGATCACGTGGCAGTGGTTTTGGTTCTTGTCGTTTCTCGCGTGGTACACCTTGAAAGCCACCTCCAGGATCTGTGCCTGTGGGGTTAGGGGACCCTTCTCCAAATGTCTGAGCTTTGCCTTGATGTCTGAGTAGCATTGGTAGCAAATGGGTCATCAGGAGCTGTCTGCCCTCCGTGGATTCTGGATCAATGTTTGTGAACTGTAACATAGCTTTAGTAAGATGGTCAAGAAATGCAGAGGGATTTTCCTTAGTGTCTTGGAAAATTTCTGCGAGTTTAGAATAGTTTACTGGTTTGAAAGCAGCCTTCCGAAGCCCCACCATGAGACAAGTTTGGAACCAGTCCCTGGCCAGAATGCCCCCGGGAGAGTTATAATCCCAGTGGGGTTCCTGGTCTGGCACCACCTCTGCCCCCGGAGGGTGGGAGGCCAGGGTTTGGTGGACTTCATCAGCGTGCAGCCTCGTCTGTTCCCAGACCCGCCTGCGCTCGGGAAGCAAGTTATTACAGAGAATCATATAAATATCATGGTAAGTTATGGTAGGTTGTAAGATTGGGTTGTAAGATCAGGAATAAGCCCAGCTGATGACTAGTTGGGCCGTGTAATCCTGCCCACCTCCGCTCACAATTAGCTCTCCCTGCTACATCAGGTAGAGACTGGGGTCGGAACATCCACGAGAAGGGAATGCTTGCCCCCCTGAAATCCCTGTGCTTAGAGTGACGTCCTCCCTTGCTGACCTGAAGTCCACCAGCACTGCACGGGAAGACTAGGGGAGGAGGGCTGCCTTAGACAGTCCAGGGTGTTCCCTCCCCCTACAGCCAATGCAAAGGTCTTCCCAGCTGCTACTGGCAGTGTGAGGGCTAAAGAGGAGCCTCTGTGGTGACCTATGTGGCATCCCAGAGGAACTGAGTTGAGGCTTCCAGATGGCAGACCAAACCTGACCTGACCAGTTCCCTGGAGGGAACGCCTCCTGGGGCCTCTGGAATCCCATTCAGAGAAAAGCTGCTAGATTGCTGTGAGTACTGAGGTGTGGATGGGGGAAGCTTGTGCTATACAGCTAGGAGCTCACTGTGGATGGAGCTGAGGCTGAAGCCAGGTCCTGGAAGGATCCCCAGTGGGGTTCCCTGTGGGGTCTTCTTTCCAAACAGAAGGCTTGTTTTCCTTGGAAAATAAGGTGCTAGGGACTGAATGGCAGCCTCCCCTCTACAAATGCTATGTAAAGCCTTATGCCAAAGATCTGTGGCCCTTGCCCAGGGGAAGTAGCTGGTGCTAGCGCCAGGGTCACGGAACTAAGGCCTCCTGGACCTTTTCGTTTTGGCAGTAGGGCAAGAGATTGTAAATATCCCTGTGGCTGTTGGTAAATGGCGAAAGTGGATTCAGAAATGGCAGGTAGTGGAGTAAGCTGACATTGGAAGGGCCTACCAGCCCTGATAGCATCTCTCTTCTGGGGATGCTCTGTTCCAGTCATCATGTGCTGCATCCAGGGTAAAAGCCTCTGGTTTAAAAATTGGAAAAATTAAATTGAGTCACTTTAAAATAATGTGCTTATAAAAAAACTACAGATTGTTGGTTTCTATATTTCTTACTATGCAGTGTGTCCAGAGGAAAGTAAATTCCCAGCTCTGTTTAGATGGGTGCAGGACTACACTGTCCTCAAGAACTATTGCTGTAAAAGCTCTGGCCCAGGGCCGGGGCCATATGAACAGCCCAGCTGAGCTTCTAAGCCAGCCCATGTTTAGATCTGAATTTAACACTTGTCTGCTCACAATGCTTGTGATAAGGTGGGTGCCCCGAGTTGCCCCACATGGCAAAGATCTGCTAAAGCCTCTCACCCCACCACAATGGCAAAAGGGGTGTTACTGAATGATAAGGTTGAGTTAAAATGGCCCTTTTGACTCTTTATAATGTTTATGGCTATTAAAAAAAACATGGCGAAGATTCTCATTTATTATTAATATAAAAAAGGTGCATTTTGGGTTGTTTTCAGATTCTGTCTATGATAATATAAAGGATGTCGCTACGTTTTTAAGGTACTATGTTATCTAATTCTGAAAATCCACCATGCTAATGTTCAAAGTAGCTGTAAGCGTAAATTGTCAAATGATATTTTTAATCTTGATCAGTTTTACAGAAATAAGATAAAATCTCAGAATTGTTTAATTTACATTTCCCTGATGATTAAGGACGTTATATTTAAGCAAATTTTAAATATCTTTCAGTCATTTCAAGTTCATTTGTTGAGAATTTACAGTTTTGGTTTGTGACATAATTGTACTGAAATATTTGTTTTTATGAGGATTAAGCTTCTAAGTTCCTTGTATGGTTTTAAAATAATTGATAAAGATACCTTTCCTATTCTACAGGCTGATATTATGTTCTGTTAATTATATCCTTTGTTATACAAAAAGCTTCTCAGTTCTGGAGATTTTAATTACTGATTGTTTCCTTTAATGTCTACGCTACTGAGGCTATGTTCAAAATTCTATTTATATTGTTGCCCTTATGTTAAGGTCTTTAATTTGTTTGGATTTCAGTTTTGTGCATAGAGATAAATATGGATCTATTTTCATTTTTCTACATGATGATGTTTAATTAATTCTTAAAGGGAGAAACTGACAGTCAAAATGCTGGGCTCATGGCAAATCTCAGGGCGGGGGCTGCAAGGCACCCCACTAATTCGGCCAAAGTAAGAGAGGTTCTCCAGGGGCCAGTTAAAAATCTGTGTTCCTTAAATGATTAATAAAAGTTTACAGGCATTTTACCCAACCTCTGAAGGTCAGCAGACAGCAGTAGCCATGGCCTACATAGGACAGGCAACTTCAGATATAAGAAAAAAAAAAGTTACAAGTAGATGGGTTACAAGATTATACCTAGTAAAATTTGGAGAGACAAAAAAAAAAAGTTAAACGAGGGACAGAGAAAGGGAAGCAAAAGAAAGACAGGACTCAGACAGATTAGGAGCCTGGGCAACAGAAGATCAAAGACAAATGAAGAGGGACACTGGAACTGAGTAAAGAATACAAACTGGACACCTTGCGAACTATAAATTTGGGAAAAAGACAAATAAATGACTCGTTCCTCCCTGGTCACTTCTGAATGTATGACCAAAGCCTTTTGTTGACCAAACGAGGGACTCTTGCTTTCGCTGCTGTTCTCAGTGCTGCAGGAGACGCAGGCTGCTTGTCTGCCTCTGCCTCTACCATGCCCTCCTCACCAGGATGACCACCTCTCCCTGCCTCCACCGCTGAAGAAATCCTCACCTCCTAGCAACTGCCTTGGTGCTGTGCTTGCTCTAAAGCCTGCATGAGCCCTGACTGCTCACTCTACAGTCTCGCTCCCCTCACCCATGTCAGACTGCGATACAGCAGTCACCATGCTACCACAGGTGCCCTCCTGTGCCAGACTACTGCTCCTGTGCTGGGCTGACGTCGATGGACTATGGATCCTACCAGCATCTGCCTAAAGGACAGGCGAATGGCAAAATGGCAGGCTAAGCTGTGCCAGGCAGAGCCGAAAATGAGGGCGAAGCTTGCCAGGGGCACAAGGCTGGCGGTCCGAGCTAAGCAGGTACACAAGACTGAAGGTAAGCCCAAGGCGGGGGCAACATTGGTGGACAGGAAGCAAATGATCTGGGCCAGTAGCCTCCCTTCAGGGATGGTGGCCCGACCAGAACGCTGAACTTGTGGCTTTGATACAAACTCTACAGATGGCAGAGGGAACGTCTATACTAACAGCAGGTATGCTTTTGCCCTCACCTATATATACAAAGCAACATACAGACAAAAAGGACTGTTGACATCTGCTGAAATTTTGAGCCTCCAGGAGGCCACACATTTGCCAAAGAAGATAGCCATCATACATTGACCAAGATGAGACACCCAATGTAATGGCTAAGAAGATCATAAAAAAAAAAAAAATCATCCTAAGGTTTGGGATGCCCAAGATAATCATGTCCCATAATAGACCTGCCTTTGTTGCCCAGGTAAGTTAGGGTGTGGCCAAGACATTGGGGATCAATTGGAAATCGAGCTTACCAACCCCAAAGCTCAGGTCAGATAGATAGGATAAATAAGATTCTAAATTATTCAATTGACATAATTGGCCCTGGAGACCAGCAAAAATGACTGGACAGACCTCCCTCCCTCCTGTCCTGTTCTGGGTTCAAAACACCCCGGCAATCGCTGCCACCAGTTCTGTTGCCTGGCTAGTTAGCTGCTGCTCATGTATCCGCTGACCCTGGTGATGAAATCCTGAGCTCAAGCCTTACACAGGGCAGGCACATCTGCTATAAGGTGGGCTTACATCACCTTTAAGGCTCTTCTTTCCTAGAGTCAGAAACCCACAGGGCTCTGCTCATATTTTAGTGTCTTTTGACAGCAGAAGCAAAAGGCAATTCTGTTCTGTTCCTCCACTGTGTGTCTGGGACCTATTGACAGGAATTATTTTGTACAGTTTGAGATTTTTCCGGATCAGACCATTTTGTGCAGATAACTGCAGAGAAAAGCAAACACACCTAAAGCTTCCTTACCTCTTGACAGGTTTTGTTTTTCTACAGGAAAATCTTACTTTAATCTGTGGGGTTATGAAATGATATGGCTTTCAAAAGATAAACAGATGTGGTTTAGTATATGATAAAATAGATGTCAATGGGATGTTAAAACTTTTTTTAATGCTGTACTTACAAATGTAAAGCCTGGGTAAGGTCAGTCTCAAAAAAAGATATTTATGTCCTCATTGGCTGTCCTCTGGCTTTAGGGCTTTTTGTTTTGTTTTAAACATTTGTCATCCTGTATTGCATTTTCTCTCATTGTTTGTTAAAGTTCTCACAATGGACACAACCCTGTACATTTGGATAAAGCTGATGCTACAGGATGCAATGGAAACCCGTAAATGCCATGTGGTGCCAGCTGAACCGAAACTGACCTCTCCGGCACATTCTCTGGAGTTGAGGATCAACACTCCCGGTGTCTACAGCAAAAGCGATTCGTCTTCTGCCTCTGCAGCTCAGACCCAGGACACACAGCTACAACCCCGGAGACATCAAAGGGCACCTCATAGGCATCATGTTAAGGACATTTGTACTGTCCCAGATCCTTGATTGACTTTTCTAATGAGGCTTCTTTTATGTAATATAATAAAATAATGTGGATAAAATTACAGGTGAAAGTTTGATTTTATTTCAAAATGATAAATAAACCGAGGCATAGTTTGACTATGTACTATTTCAGAAAGGCTTGTGAAGTTAGAGAAACAGTTCAGAGGGCTCCAGTCAGACCCAGAAGGATGCCAATCAAATTTGTGACTGACAGAGACGAGTCAGCCTCTTTGATCTTCAGAGGTTTGTAATAGATCTCCACCCTAATTTCTGAGTATCATAAAAAGTAAAAAGCACTTTTATTCTGTCAGTCATTTTCCCCTTGTAATTTTCTTTTTTAAAACTGGCAAACAGGATTACTTGTTTTCATGACTTCATTTTTATGAGCACAACAGTTCTGTGTGGATTTACTGAGAGAAGGAAGCCCCGGAGGGAGATGCCCAGCAGTGCTGCCATCCACTGAGGCCTGTGTCCATGTCCATAGGGCCTGCATTCTGTGTTAGCACTTCTTCAAAGAACCATGAAGAATGCTTGTAGACCCCAAGTAGAGCAGCACAGTCCACATGTATTTGATGTGCGTCCACACCAGGACCCAGCAACAAACAGAATCCCTCTTGGAAATCGAAAGGGATATATGGGGAAAGGAGGCTAATTCCTCCTGTGAGCAGCACACACTACTTTAGTGTGCTCTGAAAGAATTAAAAACCATGACATTGTTGTTGTCATTGAATACTGGCCCAAAGTTATATTTTTTCTTTTAACTTGGCTTAAATACCTCATGGCTTTCTATTAAAATCTTCAGATCTCTGGGGGTTGATGTTAAGACTGTATTAAAATTTTTCTTTTCCTCATTTAACAATTTCATTTAAATTTTAAAAATTCCGACATTTCCCTCAACTGTTACGTTGAAGCCTGATCTGTGTTGCTATGTCCTGTGAAGTGAACCTAATTTTCCACGTGGATAGGGACACCTCAGTGCCATTTTCAGGGCTGCATTTCCTTCCCTCATGATTCTTGCTGGGTCCTCTTCACCGAGGCTTTCCCCTGAGTCATGTATTTACTGGAAAGGCTACCTAGGAGGGAAAACAAAATCCAACATAAATGGAAGAGCCTTACTTGATCGAAGTCACACAACACTTACTGTCAGCTACACAATTGTCCCACTAGACAGGGCACTTGTCCTGGATCAGTGGTTAAGCTAGACATAAACAAGTCCACAGACAGGCATTAGACCATGCTAGTCCCTGCTGTGAGGCTGTTTAACGCAGCTTCAAGCTATATTCCCAGGCTGGTGCTGAGCTCAGGTGGAAGAAATCCATCTCTGAAAGTTCCTTACAAAGGTCACTCTTTTCATCTGCAACCAAACATGACAAAGTTCTCTGGCCAGAAATTAGCATCTTACACCATTCCCTTTATAAGTCTAGTAATACCTTATGGATGTACAAGTAGGAAATACAATTCACTGTGCGTACAGGTGAAGGACAGGAATGAGAACTTGAGACAGCCTCCATAACCACTACTGTATAAGGAAGGCTCTATTCAGACGAATAGAGGACACAAGGCATTTAATAACTGGTATCCTGTCAACTACTTTTATTTTACCTCAGGTTTTGGTTTTTTTTCTTTCCTTTTTGATGGCCTGGAACTCAAGGAGTTTTGCCTGCCTCTGAGTGCTGGGATTAAAGGACTATGCCACCACTACCACCAGCATACCTAACTCAAATACATAATTTTTGAAGGATAGAAGGAAGCTAGCTTCCTTTTTAAAATTGCCACACCGTCACTCATTTCCACATGGATCACAGACTTAAATGCCAGTAAAAGAAAAAGCAATATGTAAAGAAGAAAACACAGCTCCGTGCTTAACCTTCGCTGCCAACTTGAGCAGATTCAGAAGCACTCAGGAGATGTAGGTGTGTTTGTGAGGGAGAAACTCAACTGAAGGAAGCCCCACCATAAAGACTGGTGGTGCTGGAGTTTACACACACTTCTTGAAGGCGCAAGTGTGAGAATGTCTCTTAAAATGGCTTTTCACACTGTCCCTACAACAAGCTCAGCTCCATGGACACAACTGACTCCACTTCCCATGGCACTTTTCATGACACTTAAGGCAACGGGGGAAGCAAACAAAATGCTTCCATTTGTGGCAATGTGAATGTCTCTAAGTCCCCCACTGATGTGTGTAATCATGAAAAATAACTTTCTGTGACGCCATTATTCGAGTTTGGTCACACCATTAACAGTGAGCTCAGCTGAGTGGCACTGCGATAAAAATACATGTGCCTGAGGTGGTGGCGCATGCCTTTAATCCCAACACTTGGGAAGCAGTGGCAGGCGGGTCTCTTAGACCATCAGAAAACACAGATATTTATATGATTCATAACACTAGCAAAATTATAGTTATGAAGTAGCAACAAAATAATTTTATGGCAGGGGCTCACCACATTAAAGGGTTCCAGCATTGGGAAGGTTGAGAACCAGGACTTTTAAGTAAGTCTACTGCTTCTTGTTTGCTGTCGTTCAGACAATTTGGACTTCTCAGTGTGTTTACAAACCAAAGATATAAGGAATTCACACACACACACACTTCAGACTATTTGGATTTCTCAGTGTGTTTACAAACCAGAGATGGAAGGAATTCACACACACAGTAATTAATGCTTATCCAAAGATAAGAGGAAGTATCCTTATTATTTGGAAGCCATTTTTAGTAAGTGCATAAAATGTAACTTTTAATCAAATTTTGTAATATTTATTTTGACCATTTATATAGTCAAAATAAAAAAACAGGAAATTTTTATAGCTTGAAGTTTAATAAAAAGTCTTAAAATCTAATTCATAAATGCTTTTGTTGTAGTTAAGTATGTCAGGGTAGTCAACATTAATTAATATATTAATGAATAATATATTCATACAAGAGGATTTCAAGACATTTGTATAAAAAATGGCCTACCACAAGCTTTTTCTCTATTTCCTATGACTTGAAGTTTTAAAAATCAGAGATTTTTTTAAAAAATATTTATTTATTATGTATACAATATTCTGTCTGTGTGTATGTCTGCAGGCCAGAAGAAGGTACCAGACCTCATTACGGGTGGTTGTGAGCCACCATGTGGTTGCCGGGAATTCAACTCAGGACCTTTGGAAGAGCAATTGCTCTTAACCACTGAGCCATCTTTCCAGCCCCCAAATCAGAGATATTTTAAGAGGTTGGTAGTTATCTTTCTTCCTTCATGTTTATGTATATACATATATACTTTATCATTGAACAGAATTTTAAAACCAAATGCAAACAAACCAATCAACCCTGTGTTGTCCCCCGTGTATATGTTTGTATGATAAAGTTCATGTTTATGCATGTTCATATGTGTTTGGACACGTTGTATATGTGTGTATCCACATATGGAGACAGGTTGATATTGGATACCTTCCTCATAGTTTTTCTCCTCTACTGAGGCAGGGTTAGTTAGCTCTGCAGCCTGCTCTGCCTCCTGTGTGATGGATGACAAGCAGGCTGCCACATCCTCCCAGCATTTACATGGATGCCAGGATCCACACTCAGGCTGTCCATCCTGTGCTCATGAAGGAAACCATGAGTGGGTCAAAGGCACAGTCTACAAGGGGCTCAAGGGGAAACAGTTCTACCCACAGCAGAGAGACTCAGTTCACATGTCAACAGCAGAACTGACACCTGCAAGTGACAGGTAAGTCTGGCAGCTATCATTAACTTACTTCATGGGTTATTTCATGGGCAAGGACAAACCTTAGCCATCTATAATTTTTCTTGTAGAAAGCAGAATATAATTTGTAATAAAATTTCCCCATAATAAATTAAGTTAGTAAGCTTTTCAGTAAGAGGATTTTTACCCAGAAGGTAAGTACTAACGTCTTTATAACTAAATTAATGTCAGCTGGCCATGCCACTTCTAGATCACTAACACCTGCAGTTTTCTTCCACTGTTTTACAACTTGTAAAATTATAGTCAAACGCCACTTTCAAGATATGTAGACTTGTAAGCCAAGTGCAGCCTTGGGGACAGTGTAGGAATGAGGTCAGTGACATCACCATCAGAAACCTTTTCTCTGACTCCTCAGCAGCCAGCTGTTATTCTCCTGGTCTCTGGCTGAGACCTGAGGTGTGTGTGCAGAACACCTAGCATCCCTAGCAAATGAAGGAAACCAGACCCAGGCGGTACACTGCAGAACAGGTGTTTATACCCTGTGCTCCTTCTTATGCCTGGCATCAGGAACAGTGGGATTCTTCCTATGTAAAATGTTCTGAGGATGTCTGTTTATACATGGTACATCTGTGTACGTCCAAATTCCTAGATCCACAGGGAACACATCCCACTGACCAGTGGTGTCAGTTGTCCATACTATTCTATAATGGGGTGTCATCTGAAAGCCAGCATGGTTATAACAGAGCCCATTTCTCCTCCCCACCCAGCATCGGCTTAACTGCAGGGTGCCACCCTCTCACTTTTGTCTACTGGATTTGGAGGGGACCCAACAGAACTCTTATTTTGAAATGCTGTGTTCCATGGAGAACAATTACAAATCTTCCTGAGGACTACTGGAGCTCATGTTCTCTTAAGCTTCCTCCTGCTTACTTGCCACGTACAGTGTTCTCCTTCAGGTCTAAGTGCGGTTAAGACTTGAAGAATTCTGTTTTTTTTTTTTTTAATTAATCTACACATCAACCTCAACTCCATGTACACAAGATTTTGTGTACAGAGACCTGGTACCACAGCTGGGCGGTCACGTAGACAGTGGACTACTTGCTTGCCTACCAGACATGTAGCTCACCCTCAGCTACACAGTAAATTTAAAGCCAGCCTTGGCTACATGAGATACTAGCTTAAAAAAAGGGGGAGGGGGTGATCTGATATAATTTAAATGTTTCCTCTCCACACTCTTAAAAAAAAGTACAATAACTGCAAATACTTGAGATAACACCTCTTGGTACTTAACAAAACCCGAGGCAAACGCACTAACAATGGCACCGTTCTCCTCCCTAACAAACAGCATCATAGTGGAGAACAGACATTCCTAGCACAGATCATCCTCAGCGTTCCCAGAGCGTGGTCAGTATCCTTGCCTTGACAGAAGAGGCCAGAAAGTCCAGGAAAGACAGCTCGTCCTTCTGTGGGGCAGGGACTGTCATGGTCTGATCTTAGCTAACACGTCTCACTCTAACAGTCTCTCCAAGCTAAAAAGTCAGCACTTTGTTCCTAGCATTAGGATGTCATTCCAGGGCTCCCCAGAGGATGCTTCAAACTGCAGCCAATCTATGTTCTCCATGTTCCGAGCTTGTTCTTATCTTACCCTCGCTGTGACAGTCTAATGCATAAAAGAGATTACCGGTTTAACTAAACGAGACACTGCTGAAGCAAAGGTTACATAAGCTGTCATCTTGAAAAATTTCGACTCAGTAGTTAAGAGCATGTGTTGCTCCAGTCGGAGCCAGGTTTGATTCCCAGCACTCACATCACAGCCTAGAACATCTGTAACTCTAGTTCCAGGGGACTCCAACACCCTCTTCCGGCCTCCACAGGCACCACTCACACATGAGGCACACACAGGCAAAACACTCATATACATAAAAAGACCCCCCCACCCATTCTTTTTTTTTAAATAAAAAAGGCAAGAACTTAGAAGAGGCTGATTGTTCACGCTCTTCCTTCTTAGGGTTCTTCCTTTAGCCTCCCTGTAAAGAGGGAGGGCCCAGGATGGACCGATGAGGCCATCTACTGGCCAGGACTCTGCTGTTTACATCACTTTTTATTCTTTTATTACTTTCTACAATAATGCTGAAGAAGTCACTTTCTTTTCCTTGACCTCAATTTTGTCCTCTCTTTTTTATCTTGCCCTGGTAATCCACCATGTTCTCTTTAGCATCCCTCTATAGGCCTGGGGCATGACAGGAGAAACCCTGCCCTTGATACCACAGTCAAGGCTAAGCAGACTCCAATTCCTTTCCATGCAAGCCTGAACTTTATTCCAAAGAAAAAAGCTCTTTGCAGAGGCTTCAGAGAGGCCAGGTGCCAAGCCCAGGATTGCGCTCAACCTGCACCCAAACTACAGGCAGCATCCACAAAGCACTGCATTTGCTGCAGTCTGAGACCCAGCTCTGGCTCCTTCCGGAATCACTTTTCTCTTGGCCTTCCTTACTCCCAGGGTCTACACACTTCCCTTTGCTCCGTGTGCTTTACTTGCTGGGAGATCTCCATAGCACAGGGGCTTAAAATGCTATCTCCACACCGACAACACTTACACTCCTTTCTGCAGCCTGGACCAATTAAATGCCAGGCTCATATATTCAACTAGCCACTCGACATCCCTGCCCTGGAATTCCACATCTACCACCATGAAGCAGACCTTTCCCCAACACAACAACAAGAACTCCTTTGTTCTTCCAGTTCTCAGAGACTGCCGTGACACGAGCCTCACTGGGTCTTCATATCAGTGCCCAGAATATCCACACCCAACCGTCCTCCCTGACACTCCACTCGAACCTGTGACCACCTTGATTAATACTCCATGGCTGCAGCGCTCCTGGCCTGGCCTTTACAAGACTTCAGACAGCACTGTTCCTCTAAGGTCCAGCACTGCCCATCTCACTGAGCAAACCTTCCAGGCCCTCCTGTAACTGCTGGAGTCTCAGGGCACTAGCCTTCAAGTCCCACTGCTCTCCCATGCTCACACCATCCCTGCCACAGCCTTGGGCTGAAGAGCAGGAACTGCTACCAGTTAAAGGTCTGTCTCCTCTCCACCTGACCCTCACTTCCTATGACTCGGCTGACTTAGATGATATTTTAGCAAAGGGGATACCACCATGCTCAGCATCATTTTGTGATTTCCCTGCTTAAAGCATCTGTTGCCTTATGGCTGTCTGTCCCTGACAGGAAGGCAGTGGAGGGGCTTTGCTTCTCAATGGGGTACATGCAGTGCTGAGGCCGCTGCTGGGTAGTTAAGACTCTCAACAGATGTTTGCGGAGGGGTAAATAAGTGAAACAGTTGCCAGGTTGCAGAGTGGAGAGCTCAAGTTATGACTTTCTTTCCTTCTGGAGTACGGCAGGTAATCTCCACAAGACATGGCAATGCCACAGCAGTCACAAGAGGCACAAGAAAGGCCTCCATGGTTGAGGGTAGCAGTTCTTCCCCAGGGGAGGGAAGTCACGTGCAATATCTGAAAACTACACAGGCCGCACTTACCCACTGGACAGTCAGACTAAGGATGTGAGGTGGAAGCAGAGCAAGAGGGTTTTTTGTTTTGTTTGGTTTTGTTTAAGTTTCCTTGAGAGGTTCTGATATCCCTCTGTCAGCACCACAAGGCATAGGAAGGCTCTCAAAAGGCATGTGGTAAAATATTCAGAGAAGAAAAACAACACATAATCTGACCCTTTAAAAACCACATACCTGACTGGGGACTCAAAAATATGGTTGTTTTTTGTTTCTTTTTGTCTTCATGTAAAAGCACTGCCTAAAAAATGAAATAAATGGTTTAAAAAAACTGAAGGTAAAAGCATCAGAAACAGCCTCAAACTGTATCCAAGAGCTGGGAGAGGCAGTGGTGGCAGAAGTTTGCACGTTAGTTGGAATGACAGACATGTATGCAGGAAGTCATCCAGCAAGCCCCTGCTACCAGGGCCCAACAAGCCTTACCACACAGTACATGGGGCACAGGAGGAGGAAGCACACAGGCCACCCAGGAGGGCCCAGCACACAGCTTCAAGCACTCCAGAAGACTCTGGGGAGTGAGCAGGACAGAGTGAACAGGGCTCCCTTCTCAGGTTTGGGCTGGCTTTTACCTGAGCAACTGGTCTCAAAGGGCTAGGTGAAGGGTATCCAGATACATAAGCTGACTGACACAAACCTACAGAAAGAAAGGAACACTTTTCGTTCCTATTTTAAATTTAAAGCAATGGCCCTACTCGCCAATGTTTTAAGGAAATTTTCCTATTGGTGTGATGGGATTCCACCCAGCCCACTGAAGGAGTGACAGGGTAACATTCACCGTGCTCTAGCCCACGCGTCCCTCTGCTCTTGTGCTGACATGGACATTAGCTGTAAATACTACACGGGTTGGTTTCTAGACCAGGGCTTTTCCTTATGGCTGCTAATCCCTCTGCTAGCCAGGTGCCCTGTTGGGCTGCCAGAAATGCCACTCTCACACTTGTGTGTGTGCACGTGTGCGTGTATGTGCACATGCATATGTATGGGTGTGTGAGTCTGTATCTGAGTTCATTCAAGAGCAGTTCATTTTGGTTTTGGGGCACTGGAACCTTAATTGGGCTACGCTAGCTGGTTAGTGAGCCCAAAGATCTGCCCGTCTCTGCATCCCCAGCACAGGACTAAAGCATCCACTGCAATGTCCTGCTTTCTAGGCCACATTGGGAACAGAACACAGGTCTTGAGCAAGCATTTTTCTAACTGTGCGTTTCCTCGGCCTCAACAGTTCTGAGACACCAGTGGGTCAGTAACTTACAGCCTGCTGCTGGGCGAAGGAGCACAGCTGAGGGGCGGTATAGGGTGACCACGCTGGAGGAGGGGAAGAGGGGACCACAAAGGTCTGCTTCATTTTGTTTGTAAACCCAGCCTTGAGTCTTCATCAAATACAGAGCAGAAGAGTAATTTTGAGAAAACTATGTTAAATTGTGTCTATATTGTCTAGCTCCAACTAGGTTGAAGAAGGCTATTGTCTGACCTAAATGAGATCATCTTTAACTATACTTAACTTTGAAATGGTGCTTGATTGACTTTTAGCATGTTGACTGAATGTTAACATGTCATTATTTTAATTCCTTTAAGTCTCATCTCCTTCTTATAAGGGGAAACCAAGGCAGATGTTGGGGTTCAGTTCTGACCTTCTTAGAAGAACAAGGCTAACTCAGGCCATGGAAGTCAGCCAAAGCTGGACCATTCACAGTCAAGCATCAGTTAGAAGACAATGTTAAAACAAACTCTTTCTATCTAATAAGGATGAGTGGGCATGACAGCACAATCATGTAATCCCAGAACTCAGGAGGCTGGGAGTTTGAAGCCAGCTGGAACTACATAGCAAATTATAGGCTGGCTTTGACTACAATAGTTGAGTCTCTGTCTCAAAAACCCAAAGGGGGAACAAAAAAACACCTAAAGTTTCAGTCTTAAACACCAAGAGACTCTGCCTGGCAGACCTGCTATCTAAAATGGAAGCATGCATCAGCGCTTCCAGCACCCAGGGTGTTTGAGGGAAGGATTTACAGAGCTGCCTCAGCAAATGGGTAGTCACAGTTGCTCTCTAGGGCTCCTGTCTACACTTATCCAGCTTCACCCGCACTTATTCTAAGAACCAGTACATTCTATAAGTTGTTCTGAAGACCATAACTTACACAGGCTAAGGTGTCCAGACTATTAAAAAGGTGTCAATGATGGACACAACCTACTCAGTAAAAATGACCAACTCACACCCAGCAACATAAAGGTCAGTATTAGGGGGTGGTTTGATTGTGTGCTTAAGACAGAGTCACACTATGCTGCCTAGGCTGGTATCACTCCCCTGCTTCAGCCTCCTATGTAACTCTGACCATAGACATGGAGAAGATCTGCACATGACTCTGAATTGTGGGCTATTAAGACATTTTCCTCTTCATCTCAGAGTCACTATGGTCATTGACAGAAAGGTATTCAAATAAGGGTTAAAGACGAAACCCTCCACAGTTCTCTGCAGCACTGCCGACATCCTTCTATTCTTGGCTCATTTGTACCTCAGCTACCGCCTCCTGGGTGTCTCGGCAATGCTTTGAGTCACAAGCACACACGGTGAGCAGCTTCTCACTGTAACTTGTTTACTGCCTACAGAGACGATGTGTATGAGGATTGGAGATGAGCAAACTGCCATTTCATTGGTAATCTTAGATTTTCCTAAGACTAAGTAAACCGAGGAACAAGCAGTTAAGTCACACCCAGGGAGAGCATGTAAGGAGTGGGGGGAGGGGGATGTCATTTCCTTACAGCGCCATCTTTGCTGAGCATATATTCCTTAAGGAAACAAAGGTGTGAAAAACTCTAAGAGGTTAACATCAAGGTCTCTGGAGAGGTGTCTGTACCTGGAGAGCCTTTGAACTGTGAGCATTCCTTCTTAATGTGTCCTTCTCTTCCACAAAGGAAACAACGTTTTTCTCTTAAGTCTTTGTCATCCTGTCTCTTCCATTTTTCCACTGGTGTCCTGAGAATCTTCTCCCGCCCCAGGTCCACAACTGCCCTCGCTGGCTTTGCTTTCACAGCTGCGCACTGTGTGGGCTTATCTTCTTTTGCCGACACTTCCTTTTCTGTGTACTTGTTCTGAATTTCTTTGTCCTCTTTGCTCCGTTTTTCTTTGCTCTCAGGGTATCTTTGGTTTGGGGTATCTTCCTGGTCTCGCCGCCGCCTCACTCTATAAAAGATAAGATACTATAGGAAAAGTGTCTACAGAAACTGACCAAGTTATATCCACATGTAGAGACAGCCAGGACCAGAGTGTGAACAGGAAACCTTGAATTTGACAAGTGTGGCTTCTCTATTATGATTTCTACAGTTCTTCAGCATCCAAACTCACAGCTGCCCAAGTCCTTACAGAACATGGTGTACTATAAGCACAACCCACATACCCCCTCTGACAGTTACACCGTACCGTGGAGTGAACAACCAGAAACCCAAATCTGTATATGTTCAACCCAAGTGCACTAGACTCCATACAGCCTGTTTGCAGTTGGCTGAATTTTCAATTATTGAGCCCTGGGCATGGAGCCTGTCTGTCACAGTGCTGGGAAACCAGTGCTTACTGCTGAGACCAGGCCTTGGGCCCAGTCATGCCTGTGCTGCTGTGCTGACCAGCCTTCTGGTGTATTAGCTTTCACTAAGCAGTGACAGTTTAAACTGTAAAACTTGAATTTCACAGAAAACTTCTAACCATGATTTTAAAGAGGTTTATCTTAAAAAATATCAGTCACTTTTATTTTAGTTTTTAGAAGTGATTTTATTTTCTGTATATGTATGTGTACCATACATATGCCAGTGTCCACAGAGGCCCTGGAATTGCCGTTACAGGGGGCTATGAGCCACGAGATGCAGGTGCTAGGGATGGCAGTAGGGTCCTCTGCATGAGCAGTAAGTGCTCTTAACTACTGAGTCATCTCTTTAGCCCCACTGACTTTATTTTTTGAGACAATGTCACATATAGCCCAGGATAACTTCATACCCTCTTTGTAGCTAAGGCTGGCCTTGAGATCCTGATTCTCCTGCCTCAGCCTCCTAAGTGCAGAAAGTACTGGTAAATGACACCCAGGTATCAAGATCATTTCTTTCGGCCCTACTGATCACTAGTCGGTAAATTCCAGATTGTGACCTCCTTTGCTTAAGTGTATTCTGAAATGGGAAGAGCACTGTCAGCCAGGAGAACAATGACTCAAGCAGACTGTAGAAAACACCCCTGCTTCTCACTGTACCATCACCAGGGGACAGCACGGTGTCTAAGCACTTGATCTGCTCAAGGTAATGGGTAATGATTACACTAAAAGCCACGCCCAAACTTAGGTCCGAGCACCTGGCGTGGAAGCTGAGCGCCCGGCATGGAAGGCAGAAGGCCGTCCTCACGTAAGCAGCCTCAGCATCTGCACTCAGCCACATCGGATCACTGCATTTTCATTTTTTATATATAAGAGCTCTGATGCCCTCTTCTGCTTTTTTTTTTTTTAAGATTTTATTTATTATGTATACAGTATTCTGTTTGCATGTGTGTCTGCAGGCCAGAAGAGGGCATCAGATCTCATTACAGATGGTTGTGAGCCACCATGTGGTTGCTGGGAATTGAACTCATGATCTCTGGAAGAGCAGACAGTGCTTTTAACCTCTGAGCCATCTTTCTAGCCCCACATTTTCATTTTTTAAAAAAAAGACCTTAAATTTATATGAAAAAATGCTGGATTTCAGAGGCTTATTTGATTTTCCCTGTATGGCACAACAAGGAGATAAAATGAGGCTGCCCCCTGGACACGTGCTTACTTTCTCCTCATGGGACAGTCCTTCATGAAGTGTCCGATTTTTCCACAAATTCGGCAACACCTGTCATTCGGAGCCAGTTCTCCCTCAGTTAGAACATCTGGATCAAAAAAGTATTCCTACAAGAATACAGCCGTGTAAAAGAAACTGCGAACAAGATCATGGCACACCAGAGACCCACGCGAGAACAGATTGGTTTGTTAATATTGGTGCTGTTCATCCCAAACAAGACCTTACAGCCAGTGAGAGGCATAGCTGATAGACTGACCTAAACGTATTTCTTTTATTTCTTGAAGTTGGAGGACACTGACAACACATGCACACAAGTGGCTTCAACACAAAAGGAGAAGCCATGGCCACATAGAGGGCATCAGGAAACGAAATGGCTAAACGGCAATGAACTGAGGAACATAGTCAACACTGAGGCAAAGTGAGGAGCTGCACGCTAGTACTGGTGCTGCTGTGTGGCTTAAGAGTCTACTGCAGGGGTCGGGGATGCACTGCACCTGCACACTCACTGAAGAGAGCACCTATCTGAACAGACTGTGGGCAAAGGAGTTCTTCAACAAGCGTGAGAAGGACCACTGTAGATGTCAACAATGATACACTCAAAGCACCTCTACGCCCACATGGAAAAGTTGCATCAGTCTTCCTGGGGGTGGGGGCGGGAAGGAATGGGAAGCTGCTGTTCAAAGGGGATAAAGTTCTGGATAGAGAGAAAAGGAGTATAGGCCTGGGGAGACCTGTTGCCAAGTAGGGGCTACGGTCAATAATATGTATTTCAAAATAACTGCATATATTTCAAATGCCACACTACAAAATGACACTGGAGAAGACAGATCTGCTGAGCAGCTTGACTGAACCATCCCTTACTGCACACTTATTGTGACTAAGACATGTGCCTTATTGGCTCTCTAGCATTTCCACAGAACTCACCATTTTTGAGGGGTAGTCCTTTGGAAATCCTTTTACCGGAATTCCAAATACTCTTCTACCATTGATAAAAGCTTTCATTATAAAATTTGTCACTATAAAGAAAAAGTAAAAATTAAATTACATGCATTAAAAGAACAAGAGATGCCACCAAGTTTACAAACAAGAGTAACTTACTTTTCCTTGATAATCCAGCACCAAGATTATGATTCAAATCAAAAGGATCTGAGTAAGGAAAATGAAAGAGACAAAAAGATAATAAAGTAGGATATATAGCATCATCCATCCCTTAGCCTAGGTCCACACAACAAGAAGAAAGCATCACCTCTTCGCTGAGTAGTAAGAGGTGTGCTCGGCTAAGCAACAGAGAAGCACAAATAGAAGGCAAGGCCCCCAGAGCATTGATTAGAAAAGACGCTGTGTCGTCTTTACCATCTTTATAAGTCCTTCATATTACACAGGTTGACCATTTCTGGAAAAAGTACTGAGAAGACTCATTAACCAGGTGACTTAATGATGTCCATTTGTGTTCACGTTAGGAGTCACAAGCATAAATGAACAAACCAAGGGTGGGACAAGACCTGAGTAGGAGTCACAAGAACACAAACAGCAGGTGCCATGGTGGACTGGTGCAGGGAGGCAGGTGTGACAGGCATGGCTGTGAGGAACTGCGCTATAACACAGTGCAACTGAGCACTGCTTCTACACTAAATAATATTTTATAGAGGATTTAAAATGCTATATACACATCTATACTAATATACATACATATATACACACACACTAATGATCTGGTCATCAGATGAAGATAGATATCATTTTCTCCCTGCCTAAGACAGTAGTGAAGAAGGCAAAGGAAGCCCTCCCCAGGGACCTGAAGGAGACATATGCACAGCAGGAGGAGCCAGAGAAGCGAGGCACCAGGGGCAAGCACTAAGCTGGGGAGTGACATCAGACGCTCCTGTCAGCTGGAGCACAGAGCCCTTCCTTTGCGCTCCTCTTGCAATAAGTGCAATGAGACTATCATCCCAGTTAGACCAGTCTTGCTCTCTTCTGTTGTGTGTGTGAGTGTGTATGTATGAGTGTGTTGTACTTTGGTTGTTTGCTGTAACTCTAGTGCTTGAGAAGCTGTGGCACTGCTCTGGGGTAGTAGGTCTGTCTCTCAGTGCTGAGATTACAGATATGGGCTACCATGCTCTCAATTCACTTAGTATGCTAGACAACAACAAAAGACATGGTAATAAGAGAAGATCCCTTCCCCACTAATTCTGCTTTGACAGAAGCATCCAAAATGCTAAATCCCCACCCACAGCCCAGGCTGAAGTGCACAGCCCTACATCCAACACTACCCAAAGAAATGAAGGAATCATAAAGTCTCCACACCATCTAGATATCAGTGCACAGTAAGAACATGGATCCCATGAGACCAAGAAGACATTTCCTCAGCCACTTCCTAGCTCACTAAAGCATTTAACCTTCGTTTTGTTTTTAAAAATTAAATTCCTATCAGTTATGAACAACTAACTGTAAACATCAATGGCTCCAATGGATTCCTTGAGTCCAGTGGGGTGACCTGATCCAACGGCCTCAGCTTCCCAAGTGCTGGAGTCACAGGTCTGAGCACCAGGCCCAGCTGGAAAATGCCTTCCCCTTGGTCGGCACTGACAAATGGTGACAGGAGGCAGAGATCTGAAAACTCATTTCTAGTGGCATTCTCCAGCCTTTAGCAAAGTTTTATTTTTATTTTAGTCTTAAATTATTTTAACTTTAATATAAAAAAAACCCTTGCAAATACATAAAAAACATCACACACTGAAATTAAGCAGACTCCAAATCTATACAACTCAATGCATCTCTCTATACAGTTAGACTAGGCATTCAGGTCAGGAGCTGTGGAAATGCATCTCTCTCTACAGTTAGACTAGGCATTCGGGTCAGGAGCTGTGGAAATGCATCTCTCTATACAGTTAGGCTAGGCATTCAGGTCAGGAGCTGTGGAAATCTACATGAGGTTTTAAACATTAAGTATTAAATGTTTCATGCACTTGCTTACCTATGACCAAAAACAAAACAAACAAAATCCACATCAGAATTAGAACTGGAAAAACAACTCATCTCAGATTTAAACATCCCACTACCTTGAGACTGCCTCGGGTCTACTGCTGCCCTGTGCTCCCACACGGGTCCGACATTAGTGGAAGGTTATTCTGCTGAACAAAGATTCTGAACTCATGGCCTCACCTGGAGGCACTAGAAACTTAAAAATGAACCTGTAGAGTGGTATGGGCCACAACAGGGCTGCTGCACTGCACACTATGGGCAGTGGTTCAGTGACTGCCCCACAGAAGCTGTTTGCCGGAAGAGCCAGGAGGGGCCTATGGTTTAGAGTCGACGTCCAACTAGAAAGGCTCTTTACATCACCCCTCAAACTTGATAGGCCATCAGCTCACTTCTAATTTGACTTCATTCATACCTTCAATAACGATGTATTTTGAGGTCCACTGTTTCTTAAAAGTCGTCAGCAGACCTTTTCTTCTGATGCTGATTACATGCTCCTTAAAATCAAACTCCTCTGTGTAGAAGCGGAGAAGTCCCAACCACAGCTGCCCAACTGATTCTGTGTTTTTTCCATATTCTGACCAACAAGTGGGCTAGAAAGAAAAGGGAACGAGAGATACCACTCCATTACAAAGGGCTAAGAGCAGTATGTCTGCACTCCAGGAGGACAGTCTGGACAAGTTAACTGGCTTACATACACAAGATGTAATAAGTTCTCATTCACATTTTTTTGTTTTGTTTTGTTTTTTTGAGACAGAGTTTCTCTGTGTAGCTTAGCTGTCTTGGATCTCGCTTTGTAGACCAAGATGGCATTGAACTCACAGAGATCCACCTGCCTCTGCCTCCCAAGCACTGGGATTAAAGGTGTGCGCCACCACACCTGGCTTTCATTTATGTTTTAAAACAGCATTTACACGAGTCTATTAACTGCTACTCTGACTTGGACGAAGAGACAATTCAAGAGTTTTCAACAATGTATCATCTCATAATATGAAGGTGAGAATCTGTGGAGAAGCTTGAGAGCTGTGCAGTCAGGACAGAACTAGCGCCAATCTACAAAGTCTCAGGAAGAACAGCCATGCAACAAAAACGTGTTCCCTTGGAAGAGCCAGTGGACATTGATGAAACTCTGGTGTAGTGCCTGTAAATACATTTAGCTTAATAAAAGAGAACCCTCAAGAATGTCGTCACTGTCCTAGCAGACAGATGTCAGCTCTACACCATGGTCATCTACAGCACAGAACAGGACAACTTTTAGCCAAATCTTTACCTAAAATACTCACCAGTTCATCTATTTGATCAAAAAAGTAAATATTCCAGCCATCAACAAGTATTTCTGGTTTCTTTTCACCTTTGTATATCTGAAATTAATTTAAAAAGTTATTAGTATAGAATGAAAAACTAATGTGCTGATACCAACACACCTAGGAAAAGTTGGAAACTTAATGACAGAACTACAGCATGCTAGCAGAGGCAGATGCTCAGAGACAGCCCAGTTCTGCAGAGGACACAGGCCCTGGGGTACCTCTTGGAGCACAGGGATGACAGGTGGAGACCTCTGCTGAAGGAAGTATAGCACCATAAGAGTGTAGGCGTAGGAGGACAAGCTGCCTCGGGACGCGTCACCGATGTCACACATCTAGAGGGAGGAGACAGCACTGTGATTGCCATTTCTACGCAGCTCGCAGTCACCCAGAACCACTACCTCATCTGAGGAACTAATACAAAAATCACATTTTCAAAATGAAAATATGTCAACTAAAGCAACCAACCCAACCTAAATCAAACTGAACTCAAGAAAGTAGTGCACTGTTAGTCACAACAGGGTTATTATGAAAAACTAAAACACATCAATAATGGGTGTGGTGGCTCATGCCTTTAATCCTAGTACTTAGGAAGCAGAGGCAGGAGGATCTCAGTGAGTTTGAGACCAGCCTGATCTGCACAGTGAGTTCCAATCTAGCCCACTGTGTGTGCAAGGTGGAAGTGTCACACTTATGCTTTCAAAAGGATTTGAAAACACAACAATTTCCAACTAAGCCACAAGCAGCAAGCACCCACCTTTGTAAACACTTTCATGGTGTAGCACAGATATTTCACTCTGGGGTCAATGGCAGAGTATGCAGATAAGAGTCTTGTGTTATGAAGAGCCTGTTGGAAAGGAAAGGGCACCATGAGGCTTGACAACATTCTGACCTAGAAGGGTTCACACTGCAACACAGTTTAGATAACAACAAATACATGCAACTTCTGATTTCATTAATAAATCTTTAGTCTGCATAAACTGAAAAAAAAAGCCATTTAAATAAACAAGCATGTTACTAGGTATGGTTGTTGTGATTTAGAAAAAGCAGCATGTGAGAGAAAGACGCCCTGCGACAGAGTTCACGGGAGGGGTTTTTACTAGGGGAAAGGGAATGGAAAAGGAGGGAAGAGGAGGGGGAGACTGACCTCTGGGGACAGGAGTGGCAGAAGAGAAGAGCGCAGAAAAGAGAGAGAAAGAGACAGAGACGGCAGGTGGGTAGGTCCTCTGAAGAGAGAATGCAGCTACTGTGCACAGGTGGTGCTCTTAGTGGCTACAGCTGAGGACGCACACCCCAAGGTCAGGACAGTACAGATGTCTGAATACTAACAGTGTGACATAGGCCTGCCATCCTAGCACTCAGAAGATGGATTTCCTCTAAGCAGATGTAAGACTTTCCCTTTCCCTGTGGCATCATTTGAGACAAATGCTTTCAGGCCCCACTGGGTCTGGGAGCAGCCATGTTGAGGCCAACGAGAAGGGACACAGCACACAAACCAAATCACAGTCAAGTTCAAGCCAGGGAGACAAACGTGCTATTCTGACCTCATCTGAAGTGCATCTTCTCTTGGGCTTATGTGCGCGCTCTCTCTCTCTCTCTGATGCACACATACACGTGCACACATGCAAACAACTCTCACACTGAAACTGATGAGCATTTGACCAACTCCCTGACAACAGGGTAGGGATGGAAGGAGTGTAGGCAAACACCCTACTACTGAGCTCCACCCTCAGCTCGTGTGGATATGAGTAGCTACTGAATTCTTCACAGCCCACCCGCAGAATATTACAAGACACACATCAAGCACCCAAATAATTCCCAGAGACAGAGGAAAACAAGGGCAGAGAGCTGCCTTAGCTACTGGGGTTAAGGCCGAGCAGCCAAACAGATGGGGTAAGGAAGATGAAACGAATTTCTCATTTCACTGATTTACTTATTTTTAAAGAGACACTCATTCCTCTTGATCTCTCTATAGAAAATGCCTGAAACACCAGGCATGGTAATGTCTGTTTGTAATCTTAGTACTTGTGGGGTGGAGCCAGGAAGACCAGAAATTCAAGGTCATGGCTAGCCTTAGCACCTTGAAACCCTGTCACAACCCCCCACTCCCAGCCCCTGCAAAAACAAAGGCTGGATGGGAGGAAGCAAGCAAACAGGAAGCTTTAAAAAAAGTACTCAAGAAGGAACCAAACTAGGAGGTTTACTACACGTCAAGTGAGAGGTCAGACTGGGGTAGGTTAGTCTTTGAGACTCTTTAAAAAAATGAGAAAGCAAGCTAGGCTGGCCGAACCCTAGGAATCTTACCAGTGTGTTATACAAGCTGATGTCGACCTCTAGACCACTTCTTAGATGGAAGAACTTCACAATGGGCACCTTGGCTGTTGTGATGGGCAGGATGTTCCTCAGGCCTAAGAGGGAGTAAGACATAGGATTACACACACCGGGCAGAGGCGATTCTCATGCTGGTGGCTCCATGATAAACAAAACCTGACTTGAGCTGCCCCACTGAATTCATCATAACTAATCAACAATGTTTGCTATGAATAACTAACTGACTTCATCTATTAAACACACTGATATTTGAATCACAAGAACCAAAAAGTCCACTGTCCTTCACAAACCAACTGACCCATGAGAAGCTGCAAGTGTGTGCGTCCTGGCGGGGGGAGGGGGGGCGTTTCCACAGAGGAGCTACTGGAGCTTGCATTCATGAGTCCCACTACCCTGTCCATCTGATTACTGTGTCCATGCTTGACACAGTCATCACCACAGAGCTAGAAACAACAGCTGGAAAGGAAGGAATGACTTTCAGTAGAGCTACACTTTGGAACGCTGAAGTAGGGGAGTGGAGGGCATTTACCTGTCAAGGAAAGTGGCACAAAAAGGCTTCAGGGCCCTTCCGTGGCACTATGTAGACTGGAAAATGGACTTGAGGGGAAGGAAAATGTGTTCTAAGAGACAGGAGGAAACTGAGCAGAATTGTCCTTGAGGACAAAGCAGTCAACAAGCGGACGTAAGTACTGGAGAATCATGGACCACAGAGTTGAACCAAGTTCCTGGTGAACAACCAGAGGCACAGGGATAGAGGCAGGGTGACCCCTCTATAGAAATGACTCTACAGAGTCATTTCTGTCCTAATGACAACCACTGAACATGGGTTTGTCTTACAAAATATACACTGAGGATGCTTAGGACAGGACAGTCTACCTCAACCCAGGTGATCAGAAGACTGAGAGCAAGCAAGGGTGAGTTTACAGTCATTGTCAAAGTCCAACTCAGTCCTGAAAATTAAAAACTGTCAAATCTAGGAACTTTGGTTTCTTTGCATAATCTGAGAATCCAAACAAAACTAATCACTAGAGATGGACTCTTACTTGAAGAAAGTATCTTCTCAATATACATAGGAAATTGTATCTTTATGTGTGTGCACACCCATGAGTGTGTCCACAAGAACAGGGGCCATGTGGCTCACCCTCATTCCTTACTATTAGAACACAAGTTTAAGAGATTAAATTAATGTTTAAAGAAAGTATTGTGTCAAGTGTGGTGGCTTGCACCTGCAATCCTAGGCAGTCAGGAGGCTGAGGCAAGAGTTTTGTTCAAGGCTATATTAGACCCTGTCTCAAAAACAAGAACTCCTCCCAAACAAACTCAACCAAAACTAACCAATTAATCAACTAAGCACTCCACCCAGCAAACAGCCAGGCATGATGGTGCATATCCATAATCCCAGAGTGAGTTTGAGGCTAGCCTGGGTTACATGTTTAAGACAGCGCTAATATTGGACTGCAGTGGTTGGTAGAGTGCTTGCCTCTGATAATCAAGGCCTCAGACTCTATCCCACCAACAGACAAGCGAGCAAACAAACATAGACTTTCACTATTTGGGTCCACAGCTGCCCCCCAAGAGCATTTCTGGTTTGTATGTCATTACATATTCTATTGCTCTATTGGAAACTACCTACAACAGTGTTCTAGAGCTGTGATGAGAATCAAGCTATGTTAAGCATCTTGTTTACAGTTCAGTTTGTTGTGCAGAGGGGAAGCAGAGTCAGTTCACGAGGTCTGTATGCTCTTTACCATATGTCTACAGTTGGATTCACATTTAAGGCAAAATGACCTAAATCCCTCACCTGCCTTGAATATGTTTTGACCAAAACAAGATAATTAGCATCACCCACGCAGGCATTACTACCAGTTCTCTTCCATATTAGACTATAGAATATTTTAATGATACTAACATTACATATATTTACAAATGAGAAGGCATACTTTCTCATTGGACGAATAAATTCTAAGTATATATAATACAAAAGAAAAAAAGGACTTTTAAAAAATTTCAAGTTACCTGAATGCTTTCTGAGGACTCTGGCCAGCTCCTCGATAGTTCGTACACAGTCTAACCCCTGCAGCAAAGGCACAAAAAAAAGGAAGCCAAATCAGAAAACAAGCTGGTCTGCTGGCACATACCTGTAATCTTAGCTACTTGGGAGACTGAGATAAGACAGTCAACAATTATAGGGCTGTCTGGGCTGCATAGTAAGTTCAAAGCCAGCCTGGGTAACTTAGTAAGACTCAGGGGAAGGAACTTAGTGCTAGAGTGCTTCTCTAGCTTGTGTGCGGTTCTAGGTCAGACCCAAAGCAAAGCAGCAAGCAGGAGGCAAGGTCCTGTACTGTGACAGTTTCTATCCCCTTCAGAGACAGGGAGGGGCATTTCAAACCATTTTCCTTCTGACTTTTATTTGTGTGCACACAAATGCCAGGACTTTACATGTGTGACTGAGAGCATGCATGTCAGAAAACAACTTTTCAAGAGTCAGCTTCTTTTTCCACTGTGGGATTCAGGCACTGAACTTGAATCATCAGAGTTGGCGCTGACGAACTTTTAACCTGCTGAGCTGTCTCATCAGTTTCAGATGGTTTTTATGTCCCTTTCAGTGGAGTGTCAATTACTATACACACAAAACACCCTAAAGATATGCAAACCTCTAAACATGTCTTAATTTCTTTTGGATGTACAACAAAAACCCAAACCAGAACTTAGAGAAAGGTCTTAGGAAGAGTACCTTAGGTGTGGATATGCATGAGGGCTCCTGGACTTTGTCTCATTCATGCTGCCCATCCGCACACAGTTTAACTGAGAACTGATGGCTTGCTGTGGACAGCGAGTTCAGGTCACTAGTCCCCTGTGGGACTAGTCAAGATTAAAGTCATACAGTAATCTGGATGGTATTCTGGCCAAGTCATACTTCACGTTTGTGTTGTTTTCCAGACCAAGTCCCTCTATGCAGCCCCGGCTGATCTCAGATTCAAGGCCTTCCTGTCTGTGGGATGCAAGCACACACCACTGTGCCTTGTGGTCCTGTCTGTGTGAGTTCTTCTGGTTATACAGACACTACGACATACTTAGGGCTTCAGAAATACTGTCAAAAGTAGTGTCTAAAACACATTAATGACAGTCAACATTGAGGAGACATAGCGGGTGAGTCCATATGGTAGACCTAATCTCCCTTCACACCAGCACCAAACTCCAGGCAGATCTACTTTGGGCTATTTTCCTGGAGTCAGAGACACCCTGGAATGCAGACTCAGAACAAAGAGATGGACAAAGCTCCTGAGCAGCAGCAGTGCAGCAGCATCTATGCCACCACTGTTTCCTGCCTGGCATGCTAAGGCACTTCTCAGACTGTGATCAGAGAAAGAGCACAAACAGGACTGGGTGTGGCAGGGTGCTAATAAAACAGTGAAAATAGGCTGTCAGAGTGGCACCAAGGCACAGGACGAAACCCCAGGACAGAGACCGAGGCAGGAGGATCCAGGCTAGCCTGAACTAGACAGTAGACTCCCATCTTCTAAAGGAGGGGGGAGTCAACAACAACAAACCAGGCTCTAAGCTGTATTTCAGAATAAGAGGTATACTGTGCTGTCTCTGGACACACAATCCAAGTCAACAGGGGGAACAGAAATTATTACTGCCTACCAAAATACACGTTTCGTACTGATAAGACCAACTCTGTCTCAAATCTAGGTCCTGTACTATAAAGTCAGTACTCACCATGTATAAGCAAACCAACACCACAGGCAACTCTAGGAGGATGGGTGTGCTGGTGTAGTGGCTAAGCAAACGGGTACTGGTGAAGGCGGAAGGCGATCTGGCTCCACAGCATCCAGAATGATCTGTGCTATGCGGGAAAGCCCCTTCAAAGCTATCTAGCCAATGTGCGTGCTCTGCTTTTTTTTCTTTCTTTCTGTTTTTTTTGCTATACAGCCCAGGCTGACCTTGAACTTCTAGCAGTCCTCCTTCATCAGGCTCCCAGGTGCTGGGATCACAGGTGTGCACCACCCATGCCCAGCCAGAGCTTTCTACTCTTCACATCCCCTCCAAGTGGGCCAGTGCAGGTGTCAGAGGCTGTGCTGTGTGGTGCACTGCATGTGGAATGCCCCGGCACATTCCAGATGCCTCACAATTCTGCCAGTGAGGACGGCGCTAACCACATGTTCACAGCGCATGTGTGTTCACGTGGCAACCGTACCTCAGCAGTTTCATGTCCGTTAATTGTCATACAGACGTCAAGGTCACTCTGTTTGAACCCAAATCCATTTTTGGAGGAGCCAAACAAGCTCAACTTAGTTCCTGTTAGGGACAGATGACAAGTAATAGCTCATTACCTGAGTACATTTAATTGTTGTTTTAATGAATCCAAAATACCAATTGCTAACTATCCTATCTCATAGTTAAAGTCTTTAAATGTTTTCATGACATTTATTTAGTTATTTACTGTGTCTGTGTGCGCATCTGGAAGGCAGAGGACAATACGTAGGAGCTGGTTTTTCCTTCCACCATGTGGGTCCTGAACTCAGGGCATCAGCTTGACATGAAGGTCATTTATCTGTTGAGCCGTCTCGCCAGCCCCAATGTCTTTTTAACTACACATTTATTCTTAATGATTCCCTCAGTTTACTTAAAAACACATGCTGTATATGACATGAAAGATTAGTGGATACCACTTTATACCAAAATGCAAGGATGTTTCAAGGAAAAATGTGGAGCATTTATTACGGTAAGAGCAATGCTTGCAGTGTGCCCCTCTGTGTGTGTCTACACACTCTAGTCACATTTGCAGAGACCAGCGGTGCCAGATCCCCTGAAGTCGGTCTGCAAGAGCAGCATGTGCTCCTGACGGCTAAGCCAGCTCTCTAGCCCCTGGAAAGACGTGGGACTGACTGCCCTCACGTGTGCTGGGTGATCTGCACTGTTGTAAACCACATGTGGTGGACCAAAGCCCACCCTAGACACACAGACTACCTCACCTCTGCCCCTGGCTACCATAGGTCTTCCCGTGGCTGCTGCAGTTAATGTGCCTGTGATACACGTGATCGTTCATCACCTCTCCTTTCCTAAACATAAAAAGCTACTCACCTGGAAAGTCCTGTTTTATGAAACTTTCTAGATTTTGCCGGATATGTTCGCGAGCCTGATCGTCTACAAGGGTTGGAGAAAAATCCTCTGTTTGGAAACAAACAGACACAGATGAGTGGGGAGTGGTTGAAAAGAGGAGAAAGAGTTGACACTGCTAGAAAACCTGAAAAGATAGTTTTGAAAAAAGAAAACTTACAAGCTTCAAAAACTAGATTTGATGCCTTCTCAGCAGACAGTTCTAGCAATAAAAAGCAGACGAACAACATCTGTCAAGCTAGGCCTGTGGGACACAGATGTAATGCCAAGCGGAGGGAGGGAGATAAGAGGGTCACTTCAGGGTCCACAGCAGCCAGGGCCACTCAGGGAGACCCTGCCTCAGGAAGTCTATCCCCGAGAACTGCCCTCGAGACAGAAGCTAACTGGGACGGGGCTCAAAATCTGAGCGGATAGAATCCTCTAGAATTCCATCAGAAATGTCTGTGTTGATAGAATCCTCTAGAATTCCATCAGAAATGTCTGTGAGCTGATAGAATCCTCTAGAATTCCATCAGAAATGTCTGTGGGCTGTTTTGTTTTTAACTGGGAGCCTGGTTTTCTTTTTTACTATCTGAAAAAGTTTAACAAAATGAAAATGCCATTGACAGCTGGACAATTCTGGGTATTTGGGAGGTTAAGGCGGAGGAGGATTGCATGAATCCAAGAATTCAATAACATGATGAAACCGTATCAGAGAGGGAAGGCAGGATTAAGCTGGGCATGATAGCCTTGCCTATAATCCTAGTACCCTGAAGGCAAAGGCAGGAGGTCAGCGAGTTCAGTGGCAGCTTCAGTTACAGAGAGGGCCATAGGGGAAGCTCCTTAAAATGTCCATGTGGAGTACTGAGTACATCCAGTCTAAGCAGCAGCCGGCTTCTTGTGGAAATAGAAACCGAGACCTCTCGATACCAGTGCTTCCCCAAACGACTGTTCCTTAAAGAGTTTGCACGAGGGCAGTTCATTAGTGTTCGCTGAAGTGTTCTTTCCCTCAAGGCTCTGGGACCATCCCAGAGAAGGGAGAGCCCGAGGCTCCAGAACATCAGACCAAAGCAGTCAATATTCCAGCATGGACGGGCTAAGTAGCCCTCACGCTAACTGAGGAGCTGACAGCCGGTGGCGTCTGGGAGAAGGAGAGGTAGCTTTCTTTATGGATGTGAATCCAGTGGATGGCCCCACAGGAGGAGTCTATGGGAAGCACAGACTGGATCAGTGAGAGGTGGGGAGTGGATGCAGGAGTTGGGGAGGAGTGGTCAGTGAACATGACCACAACACAGTATGGATTCTCAAAGGACTACCTGCAAGGCTGACAGGGCACATCAGGGGAACACAGAAGACTTACTGTAACACTGGATGCAAACTTGGTCTAAGATATTTGAGAACTTGGGTGTCAGTGGTGGCAGAGGGTCCAGTTGGATTCTCTTGAAGTCCTCAGGACAGTCCTTCTTTAGATGGCCTTCTCGCTTACACAAGCTACACACTACTGTGGGAGACTGCAGGGATATGGAAAACCAGAGCAAGTGTGAGTGAGAATCTTTGCTAAATAAAGGGTGCTAGAAAAAAAATTAACTACACATATACCCTAATTTAAGCTACTCCAAATGGCCTGAAAGATGGGACGTGGTGCTGGTGACGTCAGGAGAAATGTGAACTGTCTGTGTCCTATGCACTTCTAAAGGAGGGACATGAATCAAGTGGTGTGAAATGGATCAGAAAGTGTGAAACCACAACCACATGGGAAGCTGCCGTTCTAGTGCACAGACATGGAAACCAGGCTGACAAACAGCTCAGCTGGTAAACGGAGCCTGCAGCCAAGCCTGGTGACCCAACCTCAATTCCTAGGACCCACACAGTGAAGGAGAGAACTGACTGCCACATGCAGGCAAACGGCACACACGCCTCTTCCTCGCAGGAGATAAATGGGTAGGTGTAATAGAAGAACACCAGTAACGGTATTCATTAGAATTATCCAGAGTCCCCAGATCTAAGACCACCAGCGACCATTACCTTGCCTTTGGTGAAGGCCAGTTTTCTAAATTCATAGAAGAAGTCAGACTGGTCCCTGGGTGAATTTTCCTCAGGAAAGCTTTTCTCGTTAAGACTTATTCTGCTTAGGTCTATGAGTAAAGTCCCATCCATGGGTTCTCCACACTCGTCGAGATCTTTGCTCTTAGCAGGCTCAGCCAAGTCATCCTCTTCAGAGAGGACATCCTCCTCACCCGACCCAGTGTGCCTGTTGTCCTCCTGATGTTCACTAACAACCCCCTCCTCATCTTCTGTGTGGTTCATGCTGAGCCTGGGCTCCTCCTCTTCCTCCTCTTCCTCCTCCTCCTCCTCGTCATCGTCGTCATCATCGAAGTGCATGACTGCTGAGGCCTGGCCCTGGACTCGCGGGGAAAAGCAGTTCAGAGACTCCTCCAGTTCATCAGCGCCGTCTGTTTGTCCTTCATTTACGTCAGCCTTGTCATCCAAGGAGGCGCAGCTGTCCCGCTCCTTGGCTCCAGGGCTCCGGAGCCCGACTAACTCCAGAGTGTTGTCTGCCTGGAGACCACACAGGCCGCCACAGTTCTGAAGTTCTGGATGCTTGCTGCAGCTTAAGCTGTGATCATCACTGCTCCAAAGACGCCCAGCCTTCCTTCTGACTTTCTCGTTGCCACTTTCTGTTTCTCGATGCTGTGCCATGGCATCCTCACAGCCCTCGCAATGGACCTCTGTCTGGTGTATCTCCTTTGGTGGGCTTCCCAACTGCTCAGGGGTACTTTTAAGAATAAGCGGTTGTACCTTGCAGGCTTCTGAGGTGGGCACACCAGGACCTTGGGCCACAGCTGCTTTCCCCGGTTTATCAGTTTCTGTAGCTTGGAGCTTCGGGCCACAATTCCTTGCTCCTTTATCTGGGTCTGAAACATGGGTAACGGGACTAGGAGGCTTTGTGAGGTTGGGTTTTGTGACTCTATGTGGAAGAGCAAAATATTTGTATGTTGTCCTCAAACAATGAAGTATGTACTCAAACACGGGTTGGTTATTCAGGGTCCTTGCCACATTTCTTTTAACAGAATAGGGGTCTGTAACAGGGGGGAAAAAAGGGAGAGAGAAAAAAAAAGAGAAAGCCACCACTTCATACTCTTTTATTTCACCATGCTTAGAACTAGACTTTAAAAGGTAACGCAGGTAACAACAGTAAAATGGATCATGCACCTTACATGCTTTAGTACATTTAAAACCAACTTGGGTGGGAGTGAGGGCGGCAGTTTAAGAGCTGAAAGCAATGCTCTGAGTCTCCTGCTCTCCGCAGAGAACCCCGGGAACTGGTTCCCTTCCCTAGCTGCTCAGTGACTGGAGGGAGGAAAGATATCACTACTCTTCTGGGGAACTCAGACTTCCCGACAGGCTTTGTGACCGAGCGCTCTGCACCCTGCTCAGCCAGCCTTGCAGTGTGTCGAGCTTACCTCCACTCTTCCGCCCTGGGAGGCCCCATCACTGAAGTGGCTGGCCTGAGTTTCAGGGGCGAGAGGGAGGCACCAGGAGGAGACACCACTTCTCTCAATCTTTTCTCCTCCCCTAGAACTCCAGCAGGTTAGGCAATTGGCCAGAAGAGCTGAGCCACAGAAACTGCAGGGGAGGGTTTAAAATGTGAGATTCCCTAAGACTGCACATAGAATTTATGCAAAAAGAAAAAAACCTTACGCAACATAAAGCTTGAAAAAAAAATCAAGCAAAACCAAGATTTCCGTGTAGGAGTTTTGCTGTTGCTCTTAGCTTAAAGGAGGAGAGCTAAGATTTCTAGACGGTTCCAACCTCCTGACTCTGCAAAGCTGAGAGGAGTTCATCCATTCAGTGACACCAACAGGACATCACTGTCTGGCTGACTCTGCAAAGTGACAGCCTTCACTAGAACATGGTCATGACGAAGCTGCTGTTTTCTGCTTCAAAAATAACTCTCTGTTCCCTCCACTGGAGTCAACCAACATTAAGAACAATGCTTTTCACGAGAAAAATATTTTACTCATCTTGGTAAACTAATCCTCAAAAGGAATTCCTGAGATGTAGAAGTGAGGACAGTGAGGAGAACGGTAAAAACCACAGGGACACTGAGAGAGCTACGTTCCTACACACCTTACAAAGCAGGGACTCAGGCACCTTTAACCAGTCACTTGCTAATTAAAACACTGTACCTTAGGGTAAGCCCTTGGTCCCTCAACCCAGTGCAGTGCATGCAGGGGCCTAGTGTTATTTTACCTTCAGACCAGGCCTACCTCTGGCGGCAACTGTAAAGAGAAATGTGATAAAAGTGGGCTGTTGGTTGGCACCATGTAAAAAGTAACCGAACATTATTACCTTCAATAGCGATGCGCTTTTTGGGCCAGTCCTTTGATTCCCGGGATATCAATTCTTTGACGCGAATACTGATCACTAAATCAGCCAGATTAAACTCTAAAGCATAGAACCGCAGCAATTCCACCCAGAGCTGCCCAACTGGCACTGAAGGCTGGTGTTTTATATTAAATGTCAATGGCACCTATGGATGATAAAGAACACAGAGGTTAATTTAGATGCCAGCTCAGCCTGAAAAGTCAGAGATCACTCAAACTTAAGTGAAAAATCTGAAGACTTCAGAAAAGCATGAGCTGGACAGTCCATCTAGGTAATCTTTGTGAGTTCTGTGAGCTGGACAGTCCATCTAGGTAATCTTTGTGAGTTCTGTGAGCTGGACAGTCCATCTAGTTAATCTTTGTAAGTTCTATTTGGTCAGAGGCGAACAGCCCTGCACCCTGGGGTTCGAGTGTGTTAACACTCAGCCATTGTCCCCAGAATGTCACCACAGGAGCGGACAGCACTAGGTGTGAGGCCCCCCCCGAGGAAGGCTGCAGGTGTGCTCAGGAAAGGCCTCCTGCTGCTGCTGCTGCTGCTGCTGGCAGAGGCACCTGTGCAGGTGGGGTACTGCTGAGGCAGGGGAGGAGGAAGGAACTCACCCTATCTGCCAAGTGGCACTGCATCTTAAGTCAGATAACATTAATATCAGAAACTGACACATGTGTGTCATCACAGACTCTGACAAGTCAAACAACATACATGACAAAATCAAAGTCCATAGGACCTAGGATGGAAGGGAGCAGGGGAAAGTCCCACCGTGACTGCCAGCGCACAGCTCTTAGCTACTCTGCAACTTACTTTCTCCACTCTAGGAGAACTGGCTGTGTGACAAGTCTAGTTTAAAACCCACACTCTGCCAGATACTAGCTGTGATGACCTTGGTCGAGGTCTACAGCCTGTCTAAGACTTGAATTCCTCATCTGGAAAATGGGGATAGCAGTACCCACCTCATAGGGTTGTTGGGAAGACTGAGTGAGATAGTGTCTGTAAAGGGCTTAGCACAGTGCCTGGCAGACAGTGTTCAAAAAATGGTCGCTATCTTTATCTGCAGAGAAGGGATGGTACACCTATAACACAGGACAGCGATGAGGATTAAATCAGCAGCGAGGGAAAGCAGCTGGCAGATGTGGCTACTCTCGCACTCTTTCTCAGGAGCTATCTTTGGAAGAATGCAAACGTCACGGAAACACGTCACACTGTAAGATGCTCTTTAGAGGTAACTTAGTTCAACGCCCAAGTGCTACAAGAAGGACCTGAAAGGCGCGTCCATGATTGGTTGGTGACACTGCTTAGCAGGAAGAGTCAGGAGAGGCTAAGCATGCCACTGCTCTGAAGTTAAGGATATTCTAGAGGATGCTTAACCTCTCAAAATATCAGTTTTAAAATGAAGCATTAAATGGACACATAACAGTGGGTTCACATTTTTCTCTACTACACAACGAATAAAACATTTTCAATATATAATATGTAAATTTGTCTACAATCACATTTCTAATACCACGCTTCAAAATAAGCAGTGTGATACTACATTAATTAGTAACCCTCAGGCACATAGATTCTGCCAATCATGAAAGGCCATGCTGCGATTCCTGACTGGAACGGGCATGGTCTAAGTACCACACATTGTACCTGAGGACAAAAAAAGCCTGAGAGCCTTGCTGAATTGTACCTCTTTATCCACAGCCATTTGTCTCTCATGAAGGATTTTTAAGTCTCTCACTTAAGCCTTCAAAGCTTCATAGCAAGGAGCTTAGAAGATGTGAAGTGTCTACACCACTGGCATTAACCTTTCTTTCCATAGAGAGCGTTCCTCTCCAAACAGGAGCAGCATAGTGCTGCCAACCGCACTACATCCCCAGCACCGAGATCCCTTGTGGGGAGGAAGCCGGGGCACGGGAGAGTTAAGGGACCTAAGGACACAGCTGGGAAGGCAGAGCTAGACAAAAGAGCCTAGGCTGCTGCCCACAAACAAGTCCACAGCTCACCACTGTTCTATAAACCATGGACTAGAGGAGTGACATGACCTTTTAGTATACACTGGGCTTAGAACCACAAACCCCAGTCTTAGAAGTATTTTATGGCTAGTACAGTCATCTTATATCAAAGGATTCTTCTACTCAGTATCTTTAAAAGGTCTCTGCACATAGAAGAAGCCATATAAATAAATGGATTCATGATGTCAATTTTTCAACCTTTCTCATCACTTGTTTATTCAAGAGGCAGAATAGACAAGGAAATGAAACAGTCATGATCTAATATATAAATACGTGAGCTCCTTAAGAAATAAACGGGGGTAAAAAAAAAAAAGAAATAAACGGGGCCAACCATATGACCCAGACCTACACTCAAAGTCAGCTTACTATAGAGAAGCTGCACACCCATGTTTGCCAGTGCAGTACTCACACAGGTCATGCTATGGAGTCAGTCTAAAAACCCACATGGATGAAAACAATAGGTCTCTCTAAATGACATGAGATCTTATTTGTCCATAAAAAGGAAATTATGTTGTTGGCATGAAAATATATGGAATTAGAGATTATCACACTAAAATAAGCCAGTCTCACAAATATGGGAATCCCATTTTGTCTCATATGCAGAGCAGAAGAGCAGAATAAGGTAGGTCAGTAAAAAGGGGTCTACTCGGGATACAGAGAAGGAACAGTAGTAGGGGACAGGTGGACCAAGAAATGGTAGCAGAGGAATGAAGAAGATCAAAACATATTACAATCATGCAGAGAAACGGCGTTTGTAGTGAGACCCACTCCTAGGTACAATGAACCAGTCACGATAAAGCCACATCTGGCAGCTTTGAGAGGCTGAGGCTGGAAGACTGCCACAAACTCCAGACTACCCTGGGTCAGCCTGGGAAACAGAGCAAGACCCTGTTTCTAAAACCCAAACCAACGTAAACAAAAGAGAGTGAGGACAAACAAGACTGGGGACAGACTGATGCGGGAACACCACAGCCGACACCAGGGAGAACAGACCTGCCCCGTCTTCCTGGGCGTCTCTTTGGGGGCCTCCTCTTTTGTAGTGCTGGCGCCCCCTGTGGTGTCATCGGTGTACTCCCAGACCACGGAGTCTTTCTCAATGTCTTTAAGGCTGAAATTCCCTAATTTATTTAATGAGAATTCTTCAATCTAGAAAAAAATAATTAGACATATCTTACTATATAGTATGAACAATTCTGATACAGAGGATATCAAAATATTCATAGGAGTAAAAACTCAACACACACAACAGATCACTGAACGTAAAATTGGGGATGACAAGATAGGTCAGTGGGTAAAAGGCCTAACGATCTGAAGTCAATCCCAAGGTAGGGGGGTTCTTGAAAGTTGTTCTCTGACTTCTACACACAATAATGAAAAAAATTACAAAAATATAAAGAAAAATCAGTTCACCAACTACCTTTAAGATTTGATAATTTAAGTATCTTTTCAGGGTAAAGAGCAGGGTTTTGATTTGCAAAAGCCATGGTGACTTTGCTTAAGTTTTCAGTATCCTGGCATGTCTAAGACCTGTCACAAAACTGGAAACTAACAAACCAAAACAAAAAAAAACCCTTGGAGAAAACAAAATAGCCTAACAAGTATTTGAAGCTGCTGGTTCTAAAAGTAGAACTGACACTTTAGCCTTGGCTCCCTCTAGCTATATGCCCTTGAGAGCTTTGAGGCATCTCTCTAGGCCTCAGCATCCTGAGAAGTGGAGTCCCGTTACGAAGTACTGGTGCTATTATTTATCTGCTAATGGCACAATGTTCAAAAAATTTCAAAGGAGGCCAGGAATTGCTCCTATCAGCACTGTGAGGATATGCAACTATCATCTAGACCACCCTCATTACAGAACAGTCTTCCGGGGGTGGGTGGTGTACCTGGACACACATGGAGTCCAAGCTTCTCAGCGAAAAGCAGGAGTTCAAGGAGAGTCTGGTCAGCTTGGCAAGATTGTCTCAAAGCCAAACAGGGCTGGAGAGACGGCTCAGTGTCTGAGAGCACTGGTTTCTCTTCCAGTACACAGGTTTGATTCCTAGCACCCATGTGATAGTTCACAACCACCGGTAACTACAGCTCCAGAGGATCTGATGCCTCTGGCCTCTGTAGGTGCCTGCATGCATGCATGCCCACACATGCATACAGAGGCTAGGGAGATGCCGTGGCAGAGCATTTGTGATGGTAGCATGTTAATTCCCAGAATTACTACCCCATAAAACATTAGATTTCACAAATTCTTACTAAGTCCAAAAGTATTTATGTATATTTTTTACATTACTAATGAAAATGTCAGTGCATCGCAGAAGAAAAGGTTTGGGGTGCTAAGCTCAGAGAGGCACTATGGAGCGCTGGACAGTTCTCTCCCTACACAATGTGGGGTTCATCAGTCATAGTGCCTGGGCTACTTTTCCTACCACTGAAAGAAGCAACGTGAGTAACAACATGTTTATTCTAGCTCATAGTCGATCATGGCAGGGAAGTGAAGGTAGCTTTCTCCTTCAACCCATATCAACCTGTTGAAGACAACCCCTCTAAGCATGCCTAGAAGCTTGTTTTCCAGGTGATTCTAGATTCTGTCAAGTTGACAACACAACCATCACATGTAATTAACAAGTTAACGAACACACTAAGATGTGGATTGTTCCCGAATGTACACCTACTGGTTGTCAACCAATGGCTTAGCTGACAGCAATCCTACTGAAGAGTTAGAGCTCTCCTGCCTGTCCTGCTTTCCTCTTTACCCAAGAAGTCAGTCTTTTCCTGGCCTTCCTAACACTTCTATTCCCAGTGCCACAGACTCCACCCCTTTTCTCTAAAGGCCTCCCCTTGCCACCTCTCTCATTTCTCAAAGACACCACAATCTGACAGACATGCACTAGAGCATGAGAAAGACCTCACCCAGGTGGGTATGCACGTTTATGACATGCATTGTTTGGTTTGCTGTTCTAACACAGCACCCAGAATGGTTGGAGAGAGCAGTGCTCTATAACGATTCTCCCAGAAACACTTTGGAAGACAGAGGGTGATACTGTGTCTTCGTTAGATGCATGCATTCAGTGTTCTTAAAGTCAGTGCTATTATTTCTGGTCTTCATAATTTTCTTCTTTTTTTGTAGGACCAGGAAAAAGCTCTACCATGGAGCCTATCCTGTCCTTAATGTTTTGTAGAAAACAAAATTTTTAGAACTTAAAATGTTTACTATTTTTTTAAAAAAAAATATTTATTTATTATGTATACAATATCTTGTCTGTGTGTGTGCCTGCAGGCCAGAAGAGGGCACCAGACCCCATTACAGATGATTGTGAGCCACCATGTGGTTGCTGGGAATTGAACTCAGGACCTTTGGTAGAGCAGGCAATGCTCTTAACCTCTGAGCCATCTCTCCAGCCCCTAATTTTTTCTTTTTTTGGTTTTTCGAGACAGGGTTTCTCTGTGGTTTTTTGGAGCCTGTCCTGGAACTAGCTCTTGTAGACCAGGCTGGTCTCGAACTCACAGAGATCCGCCTGCCTCTGTCTCCCGAGTGCTGGGATTAAAGGCGTGCGCCACCACCGCCCGGCTCCAGCCCCTAATTTTTAAACTTGATATAGATTATAGTTTTAGTTTTCTTAGAAACTCTTACTATGAAGACTTCACTTCTGAGCATTCCAGTTTTGACTTTCCGTAGGTGTCTGACCCATTCTGAGGTAACTAGGGAGTACAAGGGCTTAATGTTTGCCTTTTCCCCATGGATATTTGGTTTTTCTTGGTATTTCTTAAAAAGATATGTTGTAATCAAACGCTAATATTTCGGTAATGAAAGTATGGTAGAATAATCAGATACTTCAGATCTGGTTAAGTGTTTAAATTTTTTTTCAGAAGTAATTTAATAAGATCACTATTAGGCAAAACCAGAAAGTGTCATACCCATGATCCTAGATAAACTGGCAAGAGAGGGTCTTTCCTTTGCTGAAGAAAGAAAACGGCCATCAGAGCAAACACGTATGGCGGCAGGCCTCCTTCTTCAGGGCGGTCGATGCTACAAAGCTGCAACAAATCAAACCCACATTAGTGACGCTTGTTTGGGGGTGGCTGGAGACTAAACCCATAGCCAACTTGTACTAGCAAACTCTGTCCTGAGCTACACCCCAGCTCCTGTAAGGTTTTTCCAATTCACCAAGTTAAAAATGGGGAACCCTGTTTATCCCAGACTTAAGAAGTGGAACCTTCTAGCATGGCTATACCTGAATCAGTAAAGCCTTGGCTTATGAACCCTCTGTTTTTAACTGGGTATTTTATTCCTGGGCTATCTTTCTGAGACAGGGTCTTGGTATGTAGTAGCTCAGGCTCCTGTCTCAGCCTCCTTAGCACTGAGACTATGGATATGTGCTAACACCCGGCCAGCCGTCCATTTTATCACCATGATGTGATCTTCGTTTGGGGCTGCTTATGTTGACACTGCAACTCAACAACTTATCTAGAAGACTACGGAACTGTAGGACAATTACAGTACTTTTGTCTTTCTGGAGTCTCTGAATATGTTTCTGAAAATAGTCTAAGAAGCTTTATGTCAGGGGCTGGAGAGATGGCTCAGTGGTTAAGAGCACTGACTGCTCTTCCAGAGGTCCTGAGTTCAATTCCCAGCAACCATATGGTGGCTCACAGCCATCTATAATGAGACCTGGCGCCCTCTTCTGGCTTGTGGGCACATATGGAAGGAATGCTGTACACATAATAAATAATTTTTTTTTTAAAAAGCTTTATGTCAAATATTACTATGCCTCAGAATAAAGAAGTTAAAATAGAACTTCTTTGGTTATATTCTACAAGTTTGTTCCAAATCTGATTTTTTTTCTTTTCTTTCTTTTTTTTTCCTTTGGTTTTTCAAGCTAGGGTTTCTCTGTATAGCCCTGGCAGTCTGGAACTCATAGGGATCCACCTGTGTGCCCTGCGTGCTGGGATTAAAGGTGTGTGCCACCACTACCGCCTAGCTCCAAATATGATTTTTAATAAGCATTATAATTCATTTTATCTTCTGAGGAATAATGTCACACTGAAGTAGAAATGACGAGCTTTTCTTCTGTGTATGTTCAAGTTTCTAGTAAATATCTGACATCCACTCTCTTGATGCCTGTAAATACATGTCTGACATCAGGCACGGTGACACATATCTGTAATTTCAGCACTCGGGAAGCAGAGACAGGAGGATAGCTGCAAGTTTGGGGACAGCCTGGATTATGTAGTGAGTTCCAGGCTAGCCAGGGCTGCCAAAACTAAACAAAAACAATCAAACAAACCCAACAAAATCCAAACAAACAAAACCAAAACAGATACTCACACACAAAATCCCCCCAATCCTACCTTTGCCCAGTATCTAAATGCAATCACCAGAGGAACCAGCCTTGGCTCTAGTTTTCCAAGAGCCGTTAGGTGCTTTGTGGTCAGACAAGCATTTTCATTTCCTGCACTCACTTTACAAAGAAGACCACTAGTGGGGGAAGGAGAAGGATGGGAGGGAAAAGAGAAAAAATTGTGTTAAATAGGGATACATCAACAAATTTACACCAACAATAAAACCTAAAGAAGAGCATAAAATCATGAGCAGCTTCATTAAGATGCTAGATTTCAAAAAAAGGGAGTTTTATTTTATGCATGTGACTGTCTTGTCTAAATGTAAGTATATTGTGTGCCGTGCACATGTATGGTCCCCTAGAAAGTCAGAAGAGGGCTCTGATTCCTGGAACTGGAATCCCTGGTTCCTGTAAGCTACCAAGTGGATGCTGGTCATCAAACCCAGCTCCTCTGCAGGAACAGCCAGTGCTCTTAACCTCTGAGCATCTCACCAACCCCAAAACTGGATTTAAAAAAAAAAAAAAAAGGCAGCTATTTTTGAGTATTAAAAATATCTTGGAAAGAGCACAAGAACAGAGAAGTATTATCCAAGGCCTGCTTTGCCCATCCTAGTAGTACAAGAGTGTCCTGAGGGGCAAAGGGATTTGCCGGTAAGTGGCAGTGTCTGTGCTTCCCACACTGATCCCTAGCTCAGATGCACAAATGCTACTGAGGACAATGGCAAAGGTGCTACAAGAAAGCAACTATTCAATCAGGCCGGGTTAGCTGACATCTGTTAAGATACTTCCAACACTTTATTTTCCTTTTCTTCTAAAAATAAAAGGACAGGGAAGGTGCCAGCAAGTACAAGTAACAGCCAGGTTAGGAACTTACAAGTTAAGCCTGAGATTTAACCAAGTACTTGTGACTCTGGTGATCTGAGGAGCTGGGCATAGCGGTACATTCCTGTGATCCCAGCACAGAAGCAAGCACACAGCCATAAGCTGGAGGCCATCCTCAGTTACATAGTAATTCAAGGCCATCCTGGGCTACATATTGTTAGACTGTATCTCAAAATAAACCCAAATACAATAAATCATATAAAATAGCTTAAAGACATGAGACCTTTGCTTATCTCTGCACACCACCACGGGCACCCGGGCATGGAAGTCAGCATCAACGTCAGTAAAGGAGTCTGAGGAAAGAGGAAAAGCAATCAAGAGGGTTAATTCAAACCTTTGAGATGCAGAACTGGGAAAGCTCAAGAGCAGTGGGGCCTGAGGCCACTACACAAACCACCCTCAGGTGACTTAGGAAGAGAGAGCACTGTGTCCAAGAATGCCCTAATCTTTCACAGCTAGTGTTTGACCAGGACTGCAGCGTTGAAGCAGCATTTAAACGCTATGTGGACAACATAATTAGAAATATGCACAGAGACTAAAGACAAAGTGATGCGAAAGCTACTAAATCATAGTGTCAAATATGTACCGATTGAAACAAGATGAAATGTTTAAATGTCTCTTATAACAAACTGAAAGAATAAGAACACCTAACTCAAGGGAAGGTACCATCCCCGAAGAGGCCTAGCTACTGAGAAAAAGCCATAAGCCCCAAGGGGGACATTGTATTGGACAAGACAATGAGCCCATTTGGGAACAATTGTCTTTGAGTTCATTAATGGGGATGGGGCCATACCTATTCACCACTTGAAAGGCAGGTTTAAACCACACAATGAAGCAGATCACTATGCGTTTACTCCCAACAGTAAATACCACAGATTTTTGAATTTTTCACTCAGTCTAGGGCTCACTAATCCTGAATGCTGTCAACCTAACCACTGGCTGACTGCTGGTCCTGCAGAGTGCTAGCTGGACTCTAGCTAATAATTCAAGGGCGTTTACTTTTATTTTTGCTTTGGATTTTACCCATGTAAGTAATTTTTAAAAGTGAAATTCCTACTTGCAGTTTGGTAGTAAGATATATTCAAATTTATAGACAGAAGACAAAATCAGAAGCAAAATGTGGAAGAATTTGGCCTTACCACTGTTCTTTAAACATTCTTGAACAAGTAAGAGGACATCTGGCTGAGACATCTAGGAAATAAATGAATGAATACATGAAATAATCCCTGAATATTTTTGTTTTTCTGGTATAATACAGTTTGAAGTTCCCCAAATTGCTTTCCAAATAAGAAATGCACATTGCTACAGGTGAAGAGAATAGTCATTAGCCTGTGTGTAAAACCACCCAAGAGTCCATGAGGAGGCATGGGTGTGGGTAAAGGACTGGCTAACTATGTAGAAACTCGTTCCTGAGGTAGTGATCCCCTAGCTGTCTCAATGGCGGTTGGAAGGTGTTCTACTGCAACAATGTTCCTCTCACTCTGAAACACTGTTGCAATACACAGCTACACGTTCCAATATCAATATCCCTTTCTCTAATCTTTGTTCCACATCGGACCAAAACCCTTCAAGATTCTCCAATGGATCCTTTAAATTTAAATTTGTTTCTTATGTTGTTGGTTTGAGGTGTTTTATTTTTAGATTTGTGTGTGTGTGTGTGTCCCTGAAGAGATCAGAAGAGAGTGTCAAATCCTCAGAACAGGAGGCAGGTGTAGGCAGTAGCAAACACCTGATTTGAGGTCTGGGATGCAAACACAGGTATTCTGGGAGCAGCATCAACACTGAACAGCTGAGCTGTCACTCTAGCCTTTTTCTGACCAGGTCTTGTTCTACAGCTCAGCCTGGCCTCAAACTCATAGGAATCCTACCACTGCCTCTCGAATGCTGGGATTACAGGTGTGAGCCACCTTCCCAACTCATAGGTTCTTAAAATACTTGCTAACATCATACTGTTGTTAGGTCAAGGTCAAAGTTTTACTACACGGTCTTCAAGATCCTGTACAACTGGCCCAGGTCTCTACAGGCTAAGCAGAATTCTGTGGAAATGTGCCCTCTTTGAGGAAGCTAAGTCTGTTCCCAGAGCTTGTCCCTGAGTCTTGCTTCTCTGCACAGCAGTCACTGAAGAAACAGCGTATGTCCTGAGTAGCTACAAGTGCCAGAGAACCAGGCTTATTTTGTCCTTTACAAACTAGCACAGTGCCTACATGCAACAGGGACTTAGTGAAAATTTGCTATATCAATGATACCAGATCAAAATAACTACTATGGATTTACTCTGATAAATCACTTAGTAGAATTTGAAACTTAAAAAACTATTAAGATTGGGGCTATAGATGGCTCAGCAGTTAAGAGCACATACTTCTCTTCCAGAGGACCTGAGTTCAGTTCCTAGCGCCCACATTAGGCAGCTCACAACCACTTGTAACTCCAGTTCCTATGGGGAATTTAATACCTCTGGCCTCTGAAGGCACACCTACACTCACGCGCCTATACCTACATGAAGACGACAGACAGACAAACACAGACACACACACACTCTAAAATAAAGTTTTAAAAAAGAAGTAAAATTTATGGGTTACCTAATCAGGTAGCTATAGAATCAAGCACAGCAAGGAATGAGAGACTATGAGCAAGACCATCAAGGAATCCAACCTCAGAATCTGGTTGTTGTTTCAAAGACAGGGTCTTACTAAGTAACCCTGGCTGACCTGGAACTTCACTATGTAGACTGGGCTGGCCTCATACTCACAGAGACTCACCTGCCTCTAGGACCAAAGGCATGTGCCACCATGCCTGGTCTCAGAATCTGTATTTTTAACAAACAGCATAGACCAGTTGTGAAAAAGACAGTGGGAACCAGAGTGGGCAAACGGATAATCTAAGTTTTTTCTGTGCTTAAAGTTCTGACTTATCCATGTCTTTGGGAATCACATTTTACCAAAACGAAGGCTTACGTAGCTAGTTTGCGAGTGTGTGTGTGTGTGTGTGTGTGTGTGTGGTCCTCACTTTATGCTTGCCTCCAGCTTGCTTTGTCTGAGGCTAGCCTTGAACTCCTGATCTTCTTGCCTCCAGTTCTCTAGTACTAGGATTACAGGATTCCATCATGAGGTTGTTTTAAAAAGCCTATTTTTTAAATTGCATGTATGCATTGTTCCTATGTGTGGGGACATACATACATGTGGCCAGAGGACAGTTTGTGGCACCAGACATGGAGCTCCGGTCATCAGGCTTGGAGTCAAGCACTTTTACCCACTGAGCCATCTCTCAGGTCCATCACTATTTTATTATTATTATTATTATTACTACTACTATTAATAATACATAAAAGGGGAACTAGGCGCTAATTAGGTTTCTAGACCATGTTTTCAAACATACACTATTTGAATATCTGCCTTCCTGTCATAGAAAGGTTGGTTTTATGAGGGGAATTTAAACCTTCTGAATTCATAGACACATACACACCCTCGCAAGATCCATACACCTCAAAAGTAAGTAGAAAAGATCTGTAGAAAAATAAACATGAAAATCTGTAAAGTAAAATAATAAAATTCTGAAGCTGCAGACAGACAGAAGACATAAAAATGAAAATTCTCAGGGAGAGCTGTCACGGCCACACTTTAAGTCTCAAAATATATTCACATCCAGGTCACATTGGAAAGAATTTACACTTTTTGCCATCAGACAGCCAAGAGTCTAGAGCACACTCTCTGGAAAAGCCTATGCCACTGTGCACCACAGCAGGCTGACACCAGCCAAAGCTAAAGTCCTAGAAAGGAACATGGTGACAAAGTGGCTTCGTGAGGCCTGATTTCCTCACAATCCATATGAGCCCTAGGGACTCGCTCATCAGCAATCAAATCCTGAGAATTCTCAGATCTAAAAGCCTTGCCCCTGATGTCCCCAAGAACACCCACCACTCCATTAAGAAAGTGGCTTCTGCCAGGTGCACGCCTTTAATCCCAGCACCAGGGAGGCAGAGGTGGGTGGATCTCTGTGAGTTCAAGGCCAGTCTGATCTACAAGAGCTAGTTCTAAGACAGGCTTTCAAGAAACCCTGTCACGAAAAACAGACAAAACAAAGAAGAAAGTGACTTCTGTGTACATTTTGAGAGGAACAGAAAAGATAAGGACACCAACTGGCTTGATATTCTAAGACCAAGCAGGTCTGCCCAGCCAAATGAAAATACACACAAATGTGGCCAAGTTCTCCGCAATAAAACAAGCTTAAAATAAAGACAGGGGCTCAGGAGTTAAAGCACTTCTTCTTCTGGAGGACCAGAGTTCAGATCCCAGCACTCACACCAGGTGGCTCACAAGCTCCAGGGGATCTGATGCTCTCTGGCTTCCATGGACACCTACACACATGGCATTCATGCACATGCATGCACACGTGCGCGCGCGCACACACACACACAGAGTAGGAAGGGCACGTGAGTGAGTTCATACCAGCATGTAAACATAAAACCTTTCTTAAAAGCTAAACAAATAAGAGAATTCTTGGTGACTGCAAAGTCCAGCACATCATTTTGTACTTACGCTAGCTGGAAACTGAACATCAATGTTCACATCTGAGTCTTTGAAGCCGAGTCTGCTACAGGAAGATCCATACAGCCTAAGAGAACAGTCTAGAAACAAGTAAGTATATGGGAGTCACAGTTAAAATCTCTCAAAAGCTGTAACCAAACACTGCTGTTTAAAACCCAAAACCATCAAAGCTGTGCCCAGAAACAAGACCATCCGAGCACAGATACTCGCAGAGGAGGACTACAAAGCCATTGCTCAGCCTTTTGACTCCAGCCACCCTGCCACGGGCTCTGAAGCATCTAATGATCACATTGTGATCACGATCACATTTTAAAATCCTGATGTGGAATGTGAAAAGTCCCCTGGTTTTAGAACCTCAGTACATCATGAGCTACTACAAGCATTTCTTTCTAGTGTCAGAATGCACAGGGAGCTCTGACTTAGTATATGGAGTAGGTTTCACTAAAAAGTAAGGGTTCTTGCTGTTGTTCAGGTTTGCCTTTGTAGTGTTTTAAAAAATAAAGCTTGCCTGAAGATCAGAGCACAGAGCTAAGCCACTAGAGTCCAGGCAATGGTAGCACACACCTTTAATCCTAGTACTTGGGAGTTCCACACCTTTAATTTCAGCACTAGGGAGATTGAAACAGAAAGAGAGATGGCTGGGCTGAGGGAGAAATATAAGGAGGGAGGACACAAGAGCTCACTGCAGTCTGAGATTTGGTGGAGACAGATGCAGTCTGGAGATGCAGTCTGAGGACAGGATCAGCCCTTTGGTCTGAGCATTGGTAGAGGTAAAAGAACTCTCTAGTGACTGGCACCCTGCCGCTTCTCTGATCTTCAGCATTACCCTATATCTGACTCCAGTTAGAGTCTGTGCTACATGCCTTGACTCTGGGGCAATCATTTTGCTGCACCCTCCCAAAAGCTGGGACCCCGGGCTTGTCTGCTACACCCAGCTAACAGTGCCATCTTTGTGAGGGAACAGGTCTTTGAGGCAAGGCCTCAAGTAGCCCTGTTGGCACCTAACTACCTCTGTAGCCGAGAATTACTGTGAACTTCTGATGCCCCTGCCCCCACCTCCTCCTAGGCGTTAGAACTGCCACCATATGAAGCTCTGAAGTGACTTTTCAGTAGGAATCACCACAGCATGAACAAAAGCCTTGAGCAGAACACAACCACTTCTGAAAATCATTTGCAAAATACTACAGAATAATTTAAACTGTGACAAGCTGGGTGTGGTGAGGCTCACACCCAAGTCCCCACATTTGGAAGGTTGAGGAAAGAGATGGAGTTTACTCATCCCCTCATGAGGGCATCTCCTGGTCATTTGTAACTTTAGTAAATTTTATTTGTAAAATTGAATATACTTTGTTACGGAAAACTGGTGAAACCCAAGAAGTCACTCAAATCATTTAATTTTTTTAAATGATAAAGCTCCCCTTGATGGGGAGTCTTTTAGGCACAGTGGAAGAAGCATTGAAATTAACGCTATAAACGCACACAGGTGACTCACGTCTGCACCCACACCTTGCTAAAAGAGCAGTGTGCCGGGCGGGGTGGGGCACGCCTTTAGTTCCAGCACCTGGGAGGAAGTGGGCAGCTCTCTGAGTCTGAGGTCAGTCTGGTCTACAGAGTGAGTTTCAATCCAAACAGGGCTACACAGTGAGACCTTGTCTCAGGGGAAAAACAAAAGAGGAAGTGCTTTTAATTTTGGTTGCTTGTTATGACCGTCATGTGCATAACTTTGGTATGAGTAGTTCAGAGTCGTGATGCAATTAAGCCATGACTCCAGCTCTCTTCCCTCCCTCAGCCTGCAGCTCACTAAGCAGCCCCAGGTAGGCTGGACGTCATGATCCTCTTGCATCAGCCTTCCAAGTGCTGGGGCCTTGTGGGATTTTTGGACGGGGTTGTCTGCTATTCACTGGCAATTCTGCCACACAGGAAAGACTCCGGAGCCCACTAAGCTCCTCAGTCACTTGCCTACAGAGGCCCAGCCAGTGTGTGGGTGAGTCAGCTGCTGTGCAGGACTGGACAATGACTGTCAGGCAGTAACTGCCCCAGCCTTAAATGTTACAGACAGCTTGTCCCTCGAAAGCTAACCCCATAACTCGATGACTCTAAAATTAAAGAGGCAGCCGGGCAATGGTGGCGCACGCCTTTAATCCCAGCACTCGGGAGGCAGAGGCAGGTGGATCTCTGTGAGTTCGAGGCCAGCCTGGTCTACAGAGCTAGTTCCAGGACAGGCTCCAAAGCCACAGAGAAACCCTGTCTCGAAAAAAAACAAAAAAACAAAAAATAAATAAAGAGGCAAAAGACAGACACAACGTGGAAATCATTGCAAGAGTAAACAAAACAATAGCACATAATATGCACTAGGCTTCAAAACCCAGTTTCTATACAATTCTTTCATGTACATTTAAATATAATTCTATTTTGACACATATAACCTAAAAATTACTTCAGGATACCTTTTTGATGAACTGGCTAGGGCTCAGTATAGTGGAATTTCCTAGTATGTATGAGGTTCTAGATTTCATCTCTAATGCTATAAAAATAGTCTAATAAATAAGGCTAGTTAGAAAATAAGAGCTGGGGATGTGGCTCAGCCAATATCAAAGCACATGTCTTACATTTGCAAAAGGCTCTGGGTTTGCTTTCAGTACTGCAAAACAAACAAACAAACAAACAAACTAAAAACCCCTATGCTAATTTAGATCAAAAAGTAACCAAACATACACAGACCTCATAGTGTCTCAATAATACAGGGTATTTAACCGTATTTAGCCACACAATAAAATGTATAATGGAAAGAGACATATAATGACAGTGCATGTAAGTTGTCTGTTACCTTGGGAAAAGTCAGAAACACATATATACACACACACTAGAGCTAGATGTGATAGCACGTGCCTGTAATTCCAGCCCACAAGAAACTAAGGGAGGGGATTCATGAGTTCAAGATCACCCTGGACTGAATAGCAAACTTCAGACCAGACCAATCCACTAGAAGAAAGAAGGGAAACAAAACAAAATGGACACTACCCCTCCTCTTCCCCACTGCCCACACATACCAAAACACCACCAACACCAGAACACTAAAAATGGGCGTTTTCTGATGTAGCAAAAAAAGTCCTAGTAATGCCTTGTTTCTGGAGATGGGATTGGCTATGTAGTCCAGGCTGGCCTCAAGCTTGGGACCACTGACCTGAGCCTTGGTAAGCTGGTATTACAGGCAGCAGCCCAGTGCCCAGGCCATAAGTTAATTCTCTCCCTGCCCCTCACCCCAAGACAGGGTTTCTATGTGTAGCTTTGGAGCCTGCCCTGGAACTCACTCTGTAGACCAGGCTGGCCTCAAACTCACAGAGATCCTCCTGCCTCTGCCTCTCAAGTGCTGGGATTAAAGGCGAGCACCACCATCGCCTGGCCTAAGTTAATTCTTATTAGGTGAAGTAACGTTAACTGTGAGGTACTCTTGCTAAACAGAAACAATGAATCTAGAAAATACCTGGTAGTTTGTGCTGGAAGACACTTTCCATGATATGCTTGATTTCTAGCCTTTGATCCAGGTTTTCATTGTGTAAACCGAACTCCTGCACCACTCTGTCAATGGCACTGCCGACTGCTTTTATCTGGGAGGGTGTGGGCGGGGGCAGTGTGGTGAGCAACTCTTCCTCCTGCTTTTCCTGTAACGTCAATGGTAAGATTAAAAAGACTCATATGTACTCTGGCCTTTCACTTCTCACTGAGATAGTACCCTGCAGAATTTTCTGGACTCTTCTGTGCTTTCCTTCTTAGACATGGTGGTCTTCAGCCTACCACACCCACACCCAGGCACGCACCATGTAGTTAATATGGATAGGAAGGAGCAGGCAGGAATAAGGAGACAAGAACATGGATGAACAACAGACATCATGTGCCTCCTGCCAGTGGCTTCCTACATCCTGACTCAGTACTGGGGAAATGCACAAGGCTACCCTGCAAACACAGGGAGCAGTGGAGCAGTCTCTGGGGTGTAAGGAAGCCAGACTCACCCTGAGGTTCTTCTTGTGCCTCTTCTCCTTGATATGCTTATGAGCAAATGGGATGGAGTCGATCAGAGCATCACACAGCTTGCAGGTGTACTTTGCTGTAGGGCAATTTCGTGGTCGCTACAGTTTGAAAAGATTGACAAAAAGATGTATCTCCAAACATTTAGAGAAACAAAATTAGCCAGAAGAATGGTTTCCCCCATCACTTCAAAACTGAACATCACTCTTGCCTACCTACAATGGCAGTGACTCTTGATTTTCTTAAACCACACTGAGTGTCTATCCCTTAACATACAGACTTACACAAGGATAAAGAAGTGGAAACCCAATCCACTGAGGCAAATGTTGCAAATACTAAGAGTGTAAAGTGAAACAGATATGACCCAGAAAATGTATGCACAAATATGTTACCCTTTTTAGCCTGTGGATGCAGTCTCTCTTCAGCCGTTCCTCGGCCTGATGTAAGCCCAGCAGCTCCTTTGTTGAAAGTACAGACTCGTCAATCACAGGCCCTTCCAACTCTCCATCCTGCTCACTCTCTTCATTTCTAGTCCTCCGTGGCTTCCGAGGTCTGGACCGCTGTTTCTTGTTTTCTTAGGTTAGGGGACAACAGTGGCAGTGGTGAGTACCATCACTTGGAGTAAGAAGTACAACTTTCTCCTTTGCACTCACTTGCTTACACACAGCCCTGGGGATGGAACGTAGGTCCTCACATATGCTGGCAAGTGCAAGACCCTGTGCTCTCCCCCAGCCCACAGGAGCTTACTCCAGTGATGGGCAAGGGGCACCTGAACACTGAACAATGGAGAAAGCACTCTCTACATTCACCCATCCACATAAATCACTGCATTACGCTGCTGAGCACAATCATGAAACAGACAAAGTCTCCCGCTGAAGGCAGATGTAACTGCAGTTCCAATACACTTGATATATAATGTACACATACAGTATTTTCAACCAAACTGTAAGTGCACCAGGTGTTCTCAAGACAAGTATTCATATTTGTTTTGTTTTAAGTGAAGACTCCCAGTAGAGAATGGACACCACTGCATGGACTTGGAGAGCTTAGAAATTGATCATTTTCTTATGTGACTGCATGAAATCATTTAGATGCAAATTTAGCCTTCAATCACAATTGGGTTTCTTCATTAAGAAGAAAAAATTCAAGCCAAAGTTTTACTGAGAACACACAGTTCCCACTTTACTTTGGCTTTAGTTTTTTAAAATACCACCGGCACATTGAGCATATTCCACAGGGGAAAAACAACTGGCAGACAAAAAAAAAAAATCAAAGTTCAGATGAAATAAACGTTATGAATTCTTTGTTAGTTCTATAATCCTTAGAACAAATAAACAAATTCAAGCTAACTACTTTTCAACCTGTGAAGCATACAATAATTGTGGGACTGAACTTTAATTGTGGGCGTGGCCGTGGGACTCCTATCAGGTTCTGAAAGACAATGCATGCTATGCATAACGTGGGGCTAAGAAAATATTTATCCCTGAGCTAAGCCTCTGAATGAGGGCTGAAGAGATGGCTCGCTGGAAGGAGCTCCTGCAGAGACCTGGGCTGTGCTCCCAGGACCGTAGAGCTTATGCAGGCATCGACAATGCACAAACCCACATAAACAATAATACAAATCTATTTTATAAATAATAAAATAAATCTATTTAAAAATTCTGATTAAATAGATGGAATGGTTGTTATTGACTTTTCATAAATTAGTGCTTGGGAGAGATTTTGCATAAAGCAACCTCTCTCTGGCCTTCAGAGGAACTCGTTACCAGTATAGCAATTGCAATGCACTAGCTAATTTCAGAAGGGAATTCTGGATAGAAAAGGAAATGTAGGACTTCCAATCTTAAAGAATACCACTGCTGGGGCTAGAGATGGCTCAGCAGTTAAGAAGGCTCACAGTCATCAGTAAGTCAAGTTCCAGGGGACCTGATGCCCTCCCTTCCACCACGGGCTGCTATATATGGATGGTGTACAGACAGCCATCCAGGTGTGCACACACATTCACATCTCACAAAAAATAAAGAATGCCACTGCCAGATTGGGAACTTAGCTAGGTGGCAGAACACTTGCCCAACATGCACGCGGGCACCGAAGACCTCACGATGTGTAGCCTGGGGAAGACAACCCATCAACTGGCAATAATCAGCTACAGCTGTGATCAGCTGTGCACTCTGCTACACTGGGACACCGAGGCAAGGGAGAACCGAAGAAAGGGTTGGGTGATGGCAACAGCAAGCATCACCATCTCGTTCCACGGTGGAGGGGAAAAGCAAGTGCTTTTGTGTGCCCTGCCTCCTGTGATCGCTACAGTAATCCCCTCATCAGTGCTGAGATTACCCCATCGTGCAGTTGGTGACAAGAGCCGACTCAGAGAACTATGTGACTTGCTAAGGACACAGGGCCAAGGTAAAATAAAGATCTAAACTGCAACTTAAAATATACCAGAAATGAGCTTTGTACCTCCCAGTATGCAAAATGAAGAGAAATCCCCACAAGGCCCCTGTGGCACACACCGTTCCACATCGGGAACAGACAGAACTGACAGGGCCATCGAGGCTCACAGTACCAACTGTGAGGAAAGCTCCCTGGAGCAGCAAAACAGCCAGGAAGGCTGCCTACCACTGACAAGATTTCATGCTCCCTGGGTGCCAACCCCAGCTGTCGGGGAGCATTCCAAGTCCCTCACATCTTATTTGCATACGGACATCAACCCAGTCACAGAGGACATTTGAATGGATGCCTCCAGTCAGCCTATGAATGACTTTGCCCCAAATACTTTACACTGACAATTAGACATTTGAAGGCTAAGGGAGGGGGCAATAATGTAGAATTAAAAAAAAAAAATCAGTACTTAAAAAGTTTTAAAAATCAACTTTAATATATTTTTTTCTATCACATCTCATAGTTTGATTGATCCTTATTATTGCAGGCCATGGTGGTGTACCCCTTTAATACTGGAACAAAGGAGGCAGAGGAAGGTGGATCTCTATGAGTTTGAGGTGGCCTTATCTACATAGAGCATTCTAGACCCACCAATGCTATAACAGGAGACCCTGCCTCAAAAGGGAAATTTTCAATTTCTTCACTTGGGAACTTAAAACTCATGCCTGGACTTCATACATACATACAAACATACATACTTAGATGAGCTTCTGCAAATGCGGGACAATGTACCCCACTTCGCACCTGCTGAGGTGCCTCCCTAGTTATTCCGAAAACGGGGACGAGCATGTGTAAGAGGGTTTAGGTCTGCACTCAGCCCCTTTAATATTTCTAGTTGCAAAACACTGATCCATAACTATATCAGCAGCAGCAGCAGCAGCAGTAGTGATTTTAGACAGGGTCTCACTAAGCAGCCCTGGCTGGCTCACTAGGTAGACCAGGCTGACCTCAAATTCACAGATCTGCTAGCCTCTGTCTCTTGCACTCTGAGAATAACAGTATGTGACATTCAGCTTGGCTTAACACTCACCTTTTAAGGTGGGTCGTCAAGCCCAGTCAGTAGGGTACGAGACTCTAAAAGTCCCTTTCCCTGCCCTTTTTTTCATTTGTTTGCTTTATTTTTTCTTGAAACCTAGACTGGCCTGGAGCTCCAGATCCTCTGGCCTCCACCCCCGAAATATTACGATTAGATGAGTGGGGCCACCATGCCTGGCCTAAAAAACTCTTAACCGTCCCCTCTCCAAGGTCTTGTCATGTAGTCCAGGCTGGCCTCAAATTCTCCATCCTCCCGCCTTGTCCTCCCTACTTCTGAGATTGCAGGAATGTGATATACACATCTTAATTTTTTAATTTCTGTAAGACAAATGTAATTTAGTGTCCACATCTACATGAATGCTATAATATAGAAATACTTAAAGTATGCAAAAAAATTATTAAAAAAGAAACAAACAAATCAAAATACCAATAAATATTCAATTTCCTTCTCAGGACTCCAGGTCCTACAGGACTAAGGAATGGCCAGAGTGATAGAATGAACACCTAATTTGTTTCAGTTGAGTTTCACTTTCTCACCCAGCACTGTATAAACAAGTCTGCACAGTCTGACCTCTCCAGTCTGCACAACTTCCAACAACAGCCTTTCTAGTTTGCCCAGCTCTAAGATTTGTAGGCTATGGTTCTTTTTATGGTGTGTGTGTGTGTGTTTTGTTTTTGAGACAGGGCTCTTTAAACCCTACCCCAGGAAGAAGCAAGAGGATCGTTGTCAGGCCAGTCTGGTCTACATAGAAAGTTCCAGGTCAGTTAGCACTACACATTAAGACACTTGTCTTTAAAAAAAGCAATTTTAGTCCACTTTCATACTATAAACAGTTTTCACATTTTTGCATCCAATTTACGACTTTTATTTCACATCAGTAAATACATCAATTAAATAAATAACTTTCTTGTTTTGAGGAATAATTGCTACACAACATCTACTTGCACCTTTTAGAAAAATATACAACCATTTGTATAATTATTATAAGCATGTGAAGCTAGCTCTGACTACATGAAACTGTCTCAGAAAAAGAAACAGATTTTGATTTTTCTGAATGGGAGCAGCACTGTTTTTATCTGCATTCTGGGCCTCTAAATACCCATTTTCAAATTCTGTCGTAATGCTTGTATTTCAACTTCCCAGACCCCACGCGACTTTAACAGCAGCTCAGCTTCCCTTTTCTCCCCAAACCTTCTCTTTCCCCACCACTACCTCTTTTTTTTTTTTTTATTTTATTTTGATTTTCAAGACAGGGTTTCTCTGTAGCTTTTGGTTCCTGTCCTGGAACTAGCTCTTGTAGACCAGGCTGGCCTCGAACTCAACAGAGATCCGCCTGCCTCTGCCTCCTGAGTGCTGGGATTAAAGGCATGCGCCACCTCCGCCTGGCTGCACCACTACCTCTTCCACCCTCTCTTTGGAATATATGCAGCTTATACTGTCTTCACATTAAATATTTTTAGTTTGAAATTGTCATGTACATTATGAACACATTTTAAAGTTAAAATTATGAACATAAAAATACATATACATTACTCAGAAATTACAGTGTGACCTCCAAGGTCATATGACCCCCCCTCATCTATAAAGTGTTTACTAATAATGTAAAATGGGCCTTACTTTTTTTTGAGTTTTGGGGGACAGTACCCTACTTGGCGGCCCAGCCTGGATTTGAGCTTGTGACAGTCCAACGTCTGAAATATGTTGAGTTACCCAAGTATAGCACTATAAACCCTAACATAATCACATTAAATAGCTCATTACTGAAAATAACAAAACTAATTTGGATGAAAAAAAGAATACAGACACGTAACCTAGAGACGTGAAGCGTACCAGGGCTTCCTGCTTCCATCTCTGACATGGCTTCCAGGCTGGCGATGTCCTTCTGAAACAGCCTTCTGGCTGCTCTGCAGCCTCTGCCGTCCGGCCACCTGTAGCACTCGTCACTTTCTTGAAAGGAGTCTTTCCTTGACCGGCTTATGGTGGGAATCCTAGGTCCCGGCTTGAGCTCTCTCCAGCTATCTGCATTACCAGCAAGTTCATCTGGCAGCCATCTCTTATTTTGATCTTTGTGGTTGTCATTCATCCAAACAGGCTGGCTGTACATTGGGTTTTTAAATGCATATGGATTGCTGGAAACCGCATATGGTCCTTTCCTGGGGGTGTTCCCATAGTTCCCGGGCGCTATCTTTTTTTTGGGAAGGCCTTTTTCCATTTTACTGCCGTGGCCTTTAGCATAATCATCCATTATTAAATAATCTTGTTGGGGATGACCCCTTCTGAAATCATCATCATCAGTAATTCCACGGTCTTTAGTGCGCTTCACAAAGTAAGGTTTTGCTGTATCTCCCATGGTCTTTGACTTCAACTTTCTTACTTTGTACCTGGAAGAAGGCATTGTGGCAGAAACAAACAACTATAAAATGATATCATACCAAATACTCTAACGCATCCCCATTAAAAAAATAAAACTGCTACACATTCCTAATAATTAGTATATTCCTGAAGTTAGGAGGCTTAGCCCTTTAGTGCCCACAAAAACCAGTCTTTTATGTTCCGACCAAACTTGAAGATGCTTCTATAACCTCACAAACTAAGGTAGCAACTTGGTTAGCTTCTATGTAGCAAAAAAACACCTCTCGTCAAAGTAAACATCCTAAGTCAACAATGTTACAAAACTCCCCCAAGTCTATTAAAAAAAAAAAAAAGTTGGCAATTACTTTCAAGTGTCAAAGTAGCCGAAATTATGTGAACAGATTTAGACCAAACCCTCTCTCGGCTTTCCTTTTCACTTCAGACCCGGCGCGACGGCCGGGAGAAGGAAGGAGCAACACTCCCCAGCAAGGTACCACAGTCTCAGGGCCGGGCTCCCGACCGAGGGGCAACGCCAGCTGACTTACCCGATTGTTTAGCCCAGCCCCGGACAAGTCCGGTTTCGACACCAACCACAATCTTCCGCGGAATGACACTCCTTTTCCTTCCCCATTCGGCTGCCCCACCCCTGTGTGCCTCAGTTTCCACAAGCGGAGTCCCTAGACGATGGAGGCAGCGGCCCCGCACTACCGGCGACGAAGGCGCCGTGGGGACTGGGAAGCAGGAAGCGCCTGGCCATTGACAAGGTTCCGGGGGTCCCTTCGGGGCCAGGGCCGGAGCCCCGACACAAAGTGAAGACACGGACTCGAACCCGAGGGCTCCGGGCGCGCAGCCGGGCCGAGGCGGCCCGAGAAGGACGGCGCCAACGTACCTCGGGGCCGGGCAGACGGGCTCCTCGGGGCCCGGGGTAAGCCACGGGCCCAGCCCGGAGGCTAGTCCGGGAGGGACGCGACGAGACGGCGCCCCGGAGCACTCACCGAGCGCCGCTGCGGTCCCCCGCCGCTTCCTGTCCGGGCCGGGCTCCTCTCCGTGTTTTCCTTCGGCCCCACTTCCGGTGCTCAGCGCCGTCTCATTGTGCGCGATTGGAGGCCGGCGGTGCCCCGCCCCGCGCTCCGCCGCGGGCCGGAAGCGCGCACCGGAAGCACGCTCCGCCCAGGTTCCGCCCAGCGACGGGCGCGCGCGGCGGGTGCGGCCCGAAGGGTCCGGGTGGCTCTCTTATTGCGGGCTCTGCTGCCGAGCGCTCTCGGACTCCCCTGAGGCCCCTTTGTGGCTTCCGGGGAGACTGAGCCAAACTGTTCCTAGTGACTCAAGGTGTGAGCGAAGGCTTCGTGGCCGACCTTGAAGAAAGACCGGCGACCTAAGCCTCTGGCTTACCCAGCTCTCATGCTCCAGGGTACACGCCTCCTCTTTTCTTTCGGTTTCATGTGATTTAGTTTGACTTTTATGAAAAGTCACATTTTGGCGGAGACAGACAGGAGAATCTCTGAACTCGAGGCCAGTCCAGTCTACATAGGGGAACCCTGTCTCAAAAACAAAACAAAAAGGTTCTATTTTGAGGAATACATGTATTGGTCAATTTTCTAGCCCAGCATTCATTGTTATCCGAAGTGTTCTAAATGCCTCAAAAACATCAAGCAACTAATATATAGGAAGTGTTGGAAAAAATAAAGCCGTTTTTATTTATATGCTTACCACATAACAAATTTAAATCCATTGGTTCTGTAGCCAACAGTCTTTTTTTTTAATATTTATTTATTTATTATGTATACAATATTCTTTCTGCGTGTATGCCTGAAGGCCAGAAGAGGGCACCAGACCTCATTACAGACGGTTGTGAGCCACCATGTGGTTGCTGAGAATTGAACTCAGAACCTTTGGAAGAGCAGGCAATGCTCTTAACCGCTGAGCCATCTCTCCAGCCCCTGTAGCCAACAGTCTTAAAATGAGGAACATATACCAGCCTTGGCTATTCCAAGACTCTGTCTTGGAAACTTTGTACATAAATATTAACTCAATCCTACAGATTTAGGGCGTCAGGATCATGATACAATGTTGCAAAGCAAAGGGACACGCTAAGTGGTAGGTGTTCAACAAACAACTTGTCGGAGTTGGTTTTCTCCTTCCCGCTCTGTGGATCTTGGTAATCATCTGCGGCCCGTCCATGCTTTTACTTAGCCATTTCCAGGGGCCCACAAAGTCAGTACCTGGTCTGCTAACATAAATCGAGTGTTCCTGTCACTCTGTAAAAGTTACACCCACTGGCATGTGACCACCAAGCAACCTAGAGTATGCCTCTGTTAGATGCGGTTAAGGAACGAAGTGGCTGAGGGAATGAGTTAGAGCCGTAGCTGGTGTTGCAGAGGACCAATGTTCACTTCCCACCACCCACGGTGGGTTGCTCACAACCATCTATGACTCCATCCCAAGGGGATCTGACACTCTATTGGATTCCATCAACACCTGCATGGCACAACACACACATGCAAGCATGTACAGACACATACAATCTTTTAAAAATGAGGAAAGTACATTAGGAACAATTCTAGGGGAAATCCAATTATTCCCATTTTTGAGATGGCAAAGCTTAGCCCTTAAAGAGACCTGACTGAAATCCAAACCTTCAATAGCTGGAAGTTTTCATGTAGCTGTGTGTGACTTGAAACACACTCTTAAAAATTTGTGATAGTCTCTTATGTAGACGTTTTGGTTCTGAAAATTCATGGGAGCCGAACTAATAATCTGTTTGCCAGGCAGACAGTGGCATTTCATAAAGTCCAAAAGGAGTTGCTTCTACATCATTACATTTATTATGGGCCACCGCAGCGTCACCACGCCCAGGTGAGTAATCCCTGTAAGCCAACTGTTCCTGGAATCCTAGAGGAAGGACACAGCATACACGGTTTTCAGGATTTAAAATACTTTTATCTGCATTTTCTTCAATATATTTCCCATATTCTTTTCCTATTCTAAATAGTTGCTTTTAAGCTCCTGAGTGCTGGATAGATGGCTCAATGGTTAAGAGAATGAGTTACTCTTGCAAAAGTCCAGGTTCGATTCCCAGCACCCACACGTCAATTTATGACTGTCCATACTCTAGTTCCAGGGTCTCCAAGACCCTCTTCTGGCTTCCATGGGCACCAGACACACATGTGTATAGAGATACATATGAACAAAACACTCACACACATAAAAAATAAATCTTAAAAGGAGGAAAGGTTCATCTTCAGGGACTGTAGAAGTGACTCAGCAGTTAAGAGTAGTGGCTGTTTTTGCAGAGGACTCAAGCTCACCCGTGTTGGGTGGCTCACAGTCACCTGTACTCCAGCTCCAGAAGGATCCGATGTCTCTGGCCACTGAGGGCAGCTACACTCACCTGCACATGCATGCACACACACACTAAACATAAACAAATTCTTACAAACATCATTCATTTGAGGATGCAGCTCAGTTGGAAGAATGCTTTCGATTCCTTCCCAGCACTCAAAAAAAAAAAAACATATTGAGGACCTAGTACTAATCCAAAATTATTACTGACAGCAAAATAAACCTGTCAGAATATATTGGAGATTTATATTGGTCATGGAAATTCTAATGTAGTCGAAATGTTTGGTTTGGATTTTTTTGGGGGGGAGGGGAGTCCTTGGGAGGAAATCTGAATTTCTTGGAATATTTGTGGCATTACTTCAGTAACCTGGAGAAGAAACGTGGGGGCAGGAGACAGTAAATGTTCCAGAACTGTTCTTAGAATAGGGACACTGCTCTTCATGTTACACTGTATCTTCTGTCGGGAAGGGAAGTGGTTTCCCGAGATACATCTGTAACAAACCCAGTGCCCTTTGTTCTGTAGCTCCATGGCATCAGAAGTGCAGCTGTTAGCTTCATAGTTTTATCAGCTAGGACTTTTTTCTCTTTCTCTCCAGGCTTTTTGTCCACTTTGTTAGCAAATTAGGGCCACTATTACTTAAATACACCTAGGAAAGGAAACCAAAAGAAAGGTAAACACGTCCAGAGTCCAGTGACTTCTTACATCTCCAGCCTGAAACCTGGTGTGACTCTGTCAGTTACCAGTCTGGCTTAGCTGGCTTGCCTCAGGCAGTAACTTCCAGAGAGTTATGGCTTGTGTTACTTTCTTGTTGCTTCTAAGAGTAAACACAGGTTCTTAAAATGTCCACACAGCTCCATTTACCTTTAGATACACATTTACTACTCTTGTGAAGATAAAACATGGTCTGTATTTGGCTTTTGTTTCCTGCCATGTTTTGCTTTTCTTTATAGGTTGATAAGATGAAAACAAATCAGAAAGGTCAAAAAGATTTTTAATACAAGCAGGCCATACAGACATTAAGACATTTCAAGCCAGTTTTCATGGTGTATACCTGTATGTGCTCACAGGCTCTGCCTATACATACCTATATGCTTGGCACTCAGGAAGCTGAGGCAGGAGAATTCTGTGAGTTTGAGCACATCCTGGGAAACACACACACACACCCCACACATGTGTGCACACAGATATAATTCCAGCACTTGAGAGTGGAGGATTACTGCAAATTCAAGGACAGTTTGGTCTGCAGAATAAGTATCAGGCTATTCAGGTCTGTAAGATCCTATCTCAAAAAGAAAAGAAAGTTTAAACCAAAATTGTTTGATCATAAATGTGGCTCACAGCTTTCTTTGTGAGCTTTGAAGAAGAGTACAGGTTTACATAAGGAAGGGGAAATGTTAAACTTAACAGACACACACGTTTTTACCTTAGGTGGTGCATTAGTAGTCACAAAAAAGTTTTTGCTAGTTGTGTGAAAGTTGACTTTCAGCCAACAAGTAAGATGTTCCTTCCCATGTCCCTTAAAGTCCCATCTTTCTGTCCTGTCTCAATCTTCCCTTGGTATCTAGTTCACATCCTCTTGGCCTTTCTTATTTTTACTCAAAAATCATGTTTCATTGCAGCCCCCTCTGAATCTCCCCACCCCCATGTGTGCATGTGCGTGTGTGTGCTGGGAGATACACAACTCAGGTAAACCAGATTTTTTTTAAAAAAAAATTGTTTTTATTGAGCTATATGTTATCCTCCACTGCCCTCTTTTCCTCTCCTCTCCCCTTCTACCTTCTCCTGTGACCTCCACGCTGCCAATTTACTCAGGAGATCTTGTCTTTTTCTCCTTCCTATGTAGATCCATGTATGTCTATCTTAGGGTCCTCTTTGTTGTTAAACCAGAATTCTTTTTTTAAAAATATTTATTTATTATGTGTACAATATTCTGTCTGTGTGTGTGTCTGCAGACCAGAAGAGGGTACCAAACCTCATTACAGATGGTTGTGAGCCACCATGTGGTTGCTGGGAATTGAACTCATGACCTTTGGAAGAGCAGGCAATGCTCTTAACCACTGAGCCATCTCTTCAGCCCTAAACCAGAATTCTTATCACCTAACTATAGTTCCTATCCCTGGCTACTGTTTGTTTTGAGACAGGGTCTCACAATAGCTCAGACTGGCCTAGGACTCACTCTGTGGCCCAGGCAGGCCTCAAACTTCTAGCAGTCCTCCTGCCTCAAGATGCCTGAGTGCTGAGATTGGGGCTTGGATCAAACCCATAGTGTGTTAGGTGTATAGTACAGGGTCTGAGCCATTTAGCGGCTCTTTGCCCGTCTGTGTTGCTTTCCTAGTCCTATTCATTACCATGTTTCTCTAGTCTCCCTTGTTACCATGTTTCTCTAGTCTCCCTTGTTACCATGTTTCTCTAGTCTCCCTTGTTACCATGTTTCTCTAGTCTCCCTTGTTACCATGTTTCTCTAGTCTCCCTTGTTACCATGTTTCTCTAGTCTCCCTTGTTACCATGTTTCTCTAGTCTCCCTTGTTACCATGTTTCTCTAGTCTCACTTGTTACCATGTTTCTCTCTTGGAGCACTTCAAGCTCTTATCAGACTCTTCAGTTAATCATTAAAATTATTTTCTGTCATTGATTTCAAATAAAATATAAATTTTGAAATGTCAGAGACTCTTTTATTTTGCTTAAAAATACATCAGCAGGGTCATGGCA